TATCACCTACCACCACCCCCCCCCCACACACACACTCACAAACACAACCATTGCTTGCCGATTTGAAGCTTGTCCATTATTAAGCCAGACCAGCTACCCCCCCCCCCCCCCTCCATCCTCCATAAGGGTGGGTTGCCAATTTTAACATTTGAATTTGACCCATATTAAAACTACCAACAAAACAACAACAACAACAACCTCAAGTTGCCAATTTAGATATTGGTTTAGCTACCTAATCAGAAGTTGCCTGTTCTTAGTAGGTCCATGATAGTAGCAAACAATATGATATCAGCCTTATAGATGGAAAGAAGATCAGCCCTGAAGGAGAATCTCTAGGGATTATCGAGGGCAGGAAAGGGCAAGAAAATCTCGCCGGTCATTCCACCTGCCTCATTACCATGTACACGATATAAAGATTGGAAAAATAATTGATATGTATATACCTCTAGTCTCGCTTTCAGCCTCGCCTAACAATAATTTTGAGTTTTTTTAAAGCCTATCTGCATTAGTTTGGCCAGGAGGGATAAGACCTCTCTGCATGGTTACTGACAGGTGGTTATCTGATATCAAATCACACAACAGTCACTGATTAGGCATTATTTGCTATATAGAGGGCGCAAGTGGTGCTGTTGGGCTTTAAATACAACAAGAGTAACTGTCTAAAAGGTATTCTTTAATGACAGTAAATTGAAACTTCTCACGGGAAGCCTAACATTATTCAAAGCAATTATCCTGATGGCAGATGATGAATGAATATTAATAAGTTGGAATGAGTAAGGAGAGCTGAGGGCCTGGTGATAGAGTTGCTGCCCAGCAAACAATTGAAACTTCTCCTAGGAAGCCTAACATTCAAAGTAAATGTTATTTTTGTTTTACCCCAGCAAACTTTAAAAGACTTTCATTTTGCTGTTGTTGTTGTAATTTTGTGACTTAGACGGGTTTTGACACTTTCATGGTATACACGTATCTGAATATTCCTTGCATGAAGTCCCTGTTTGTGATACAGCACAGTCGAATTTGACTGTAGAGTTGAAACAACAAAACCGAAAGAAAACTCCGGTCATTCGTAGCTGATGCAAGAAGAAGCCTGTGGATCCAAAATGTAATTGAAAAGTAAATTATGCATGGAAGAATGTGGATCCCTTCACAGCGGACTATTCCAGGGAGATAACTTTTTAGACTTGTATGTGATTGAAAGAAAAAATGGAGGGAGAGAGATGATACTGGGCCGACAAACGTCCCCTGGGACAGTCGGAATCCAAGCTTGTGTAAGAAGACTAATGGCCTGTTCACTCTGATTCATAGGAAACTTTTACGAAGCAACGTCTTATGAAGAATCTTCATATATTGTTTGGAAACAAAGTCGTATAAAGAAACATTGTACAAAGAAACTATTTTAAAAGAGGTCAATTGACACGATAGGTGGCCATTCATCACTGCACGCTCAGGATAAGCCCAATTACATGATTTTTTTTTTTACTCAACCTAGAGTGAGACCCTGATTCTTTGGTGAGTTTTCGTTTGAAAAAATGCTCAAACAAAGCATTTCTTTACAGTGCATTCAGGCTAGAAAATTGTTAAATTACATATCGTTAAGCTTTACGAGTTTTGAAACGAAACGAATTCCACTAAGTCTGAATCGAGTTAATTCAATAATTTTATCGTAAATGTACTCTGGCGATAGTTTTGACCATTGCAGAGTGGTAGGTATCTTCGATCGTTGGCTGTAATGTAGATCGGTTCATACTGACAACCTGGAACGTATATATGGAAAGCTTTGTGTTTGCGATTTGAAGAAAGCAGCAATCGACTTTAATAACTCTGCCCTTTTAAAATAGCACTTTGAGATTCAAATGCATTTTGAGATCTAGTGTATTGGAGTATGAACTCCTTCACACCCTACCCCCCCCCCCTTCCCCGATTCTCTCTCTCTCTCTCTCTCTCTCTCTCTCTCTCTCTCTCTCCTCTCTCTCTCTCTCTCTCTCTCTCTCTCTCTCTCCCTCTCTCTCTCTCTCTCCCTCTCCCTTCTCCTCCTCCACTCTCCCTCTATGTTCTCTATCATGAATTCACTCATCAATTGTCTTCTGTCCTGCTTTTCTATTCCTTTCTGTTTCTCCTGCATTTATCTCCCAAATTATCTTTTTGACTCCCTCCTCTGTCTCTTTTTATTTCCATTTTTCTCACCTTCATATCTCTTGCTCTCTCTCTCTCTATTTCTGTCTCTAACACTTGCCCATTCCCTTTCATTCTCTCTTTATTTTTTCTCTCCCTTTCTCTTTTTGTTATTTACCCTTTAATGTCTCTCATACTATCTATCTTTTTCATTTTGCAGGATTTTTCTTTTTTATATAGTCGTTCTTTCTCTCTCTTCCCATCCAATCTCTCTCTCTTTCTCTCTTTATCTCTATCTCTCTCTCTTTCTCTCTCTCTCTCTCTCTCTCTCTCTTTCATCTCTCCCTTTTGTTTAGTATAATTAATTTCAGACACTCTCTTTCCTCTTATTCCCCTCTCCCTCTCTTTCTCTCTTTCTCTCTTCTGTCATTCCCTCCCTCCCTCCCTCCCTCCCTCCTTCTCTCTCTCCCTCTCTCATACCCACTTCTGTCTTCTCTCACTCCCTTAGACGACATTTCCCATCAGACCGGACTGTTCCAGAAAGGATCAAAATTGATGTGTCCTTTTCGTTTATGTCCCATTACCGCTTCCCCTGCTATCCTTCTAAAGTACACTCTACTCTGCAAATGGTCCGGTCACTCCGCCTTACCATTTATTTCCTTTGTTTTTTCCTTAGTGCCATGTCTTATTTTTTTACTTTGTACTTCATATGTTCCACTTAGCGCATTCTTCCTTTCCTTTTCCAAGAATTTTGAAGGTTCTACTTTGTCTAATAGACTCATATTTTGCCTGTTGGCCTGCTGGTGGCGGGGGATCGATAAATCTTTCTTCTGTTATTTTTGTTTTCCTGGAATTTGGAAAGGTTCTACTAGATGCATATTTTGCCTGGTGGACTGCTGATGGTATCGATAAATCTTTCTTCTGTTTTTTTTTCTTGGAATTTGGAAAGGTTCTTGTGTTTTGGTATTAAATATTTATGTTTTTCCTGTTGAAGTGCCATCGATTAAAACCTCAAAAAAGAGCACAGTTATATGTCTGAGATATTCACAGAATTGAACAAAGTGCTGCAAAAGAGAACTTACATGTGTGTCTTCATTTTTAAAATCTAAAATTTGAAAAGAAAACTGATGGTTTAATATAAAACATAGTTTTTATAGTACTGTTCTTCATTAAAAAAAATTAAGAAACAGATTATTCCAATGAAAAAATTATACAATTTTTTTTCCTTCTACAATTGTGCCATATTTGATTATGATATTTCAAGAAATGACTAATTCTCTAAATGATGATACTGATTTTCAAGCGAGTAGGCTATTGCAATATTTCTGTGAAGTTATTTTAGGTAAATTGTAATCTTTCAAAAATAAAGTCATATCATGAATTTCTGTCTATCACTTGCTATGTACATGTTTATTTGAAAGACTATGCATGGCAATGTCTAATCAAATCAAAACGATCATATCTGTAGCTTCCATGTAGATGCTAACTCATTGTGAATCAATAAAGACCTATTGTTAAAATGCTTCATTGCATGTAAGTAATTTCATGAGTACAATTTATTGAGATGGCATATTCATAAAGAATAGTATATTCTGATCGTACTGTAGACCAATTTGTAATAGTACATTCACCAACGTCTGAATGGATATCTTTATTGGTCATTTCACTTTCCATTATGGAGAGAAAGATGCATCTTATAGGTCCAGTATCTTGCTGTAATTACATTTCTAGTTCATATCTGTAGTTGGACGTCTGGATGAAGCTAAGGGCGCGTTCATGCTTGATTTTGAAGGCAGAATGAGCGATTTGTAACGCTCATCGTAAACGCTCATCGTAATCGCAGTTCCACGGTGCACTGTTCATGCTCACTTCTCCAGGCAATTCTCCTTGGGTGGCCTTCAGCTGAATTCGCAAACCTGTGTGCGCATGCTACCTAGACCCACTAGAGGTCAGTGCGTTGACCCCATTTAAACGCGTTTACAAATTGTAAACGCATCTTTTTGTGGGTTTACGATCGGTGATCGTGATCGCCGTTTTTCGGTGATTCTACAAAAGTGAGCATGAACGCAATCGTGTTTTAAACTAAACGCGTAACAGATGCCTGATTCTGGCCGTCAAAATCAAGCATGAACGCGCCCTAAGATGAAGATTGTCTCAAGTTTATTTGTTCCACATTTTATATATAGACATACATATCAAATAGAAATTATATACACAGTCAAACCTGCTGTAGTGACCACCTGTCTACAAAGACCACATTTTTTGTTTCCTTTGTGAATGGTTTCTCATTAAAACATATACTATAGGTACCTGTCTACAATGACCACCTGCCTATAAAGACCACTTTTCTTGTCTCCCTTGGGTGGTCTTTATAGACAGGTTTCACTGTATATTCATGTAGTATGAGCATGTCTCAATAAAACTCAATTCATATTATAGATTAAGTAGAATGTGAGGAACCTATTGAAAAGCAGTACTTTATAGTATATTATAGGTTCCTGATAAAATGGACATTGTAGATGAAAAATCGTGTTATGATGAGGTTTAAAGTACCACCGATATTAAAACATTAATATTTGTCTTCACTTTATTCTGATGTTAATTATTTTGACTTATGTGTTTTATTACAGTGTTCAAAATCTGTTTATATCCTATACATAGTGAAATATCGTCAGATATGCTAATTTGTTTTCACTATAGTATTTTTGTTTTCTGTATTTATGATGTGTATTTTGGTTTCATGTTAATGTTGGTTTCATGTTTGCTTTAACATGTTGTTGTTTTTAAATATTGTTGTCATTCTTTATACATGCTTTTAAAATGTAGATGTGGAAATAAATTCAATTCAATTCAAATTAACTAATTGTACTTTCTTGTCTGATCCACAGACGATGTGTACGTACTCCTGAGAGAGATCATGCAAGAAGCAAGGAACTTAACTCAGGCTGAAAGGTAAGACTAGCAAATATATATACATTTGATATTACTACACACACTCAAGAAAGAAAGATTACAGAGAGTCCTTTTCAGGTCTCCCCAATTCCCCCCCCCCCCTCTCTCACATGGTGCAACCGCAATCGTACTGTATATTTGATATTGTTAGGAAAGCTTTGAGAAGCCCAGACAGGTTTTGAAAAAGAATCCAGATTGGTTTTGTTGGTTGCTTTGTTTTACCTGACTGCTAAGAAAGCATGCTTATGTATGCTTGTAAGATAAGCACACAGTAGACCGATGGCTTTAAGTTCTCTCTGAGGGACCTGGTAATGAGGATAAATGCCTTTATTGGCACAAGCGCATTGACTTGGTTTCAAACCTCCTGGTTATGAGACCACTGCTATACCACTGAGCCATTGCACCTTCTCAACTATATTCATGACATTTTATATCATTTAGAAAGCTTTAAGAAGCAAGGACAGTTTTGGAAAAAGAATCTTATACATTTTTTCCAGAAAAATTGTATCATTAATGTGTTGCAAAAGATATTTAAGTATCAGAATACAATCTGTGTACCTGTACCCAATCTAGAATATCAAGTTTTGCATTATTGATGATTGTAATATATTTGCTAAAAAGTGAAAGTACAAATAATTCAATGAAATAAGGAAATGCTGTTATAACACCATTGACAACTAGATTTTCATATTCCTTATAGGTGTAACACACAAATCATCTAGTTCCAGTATTACTACAGGTTAAATTTGCAGTGTTTATTTTCAGGAATTTTAAAACGACTTTAACCCATTATATATGGGAAGCGGGTGGCCCCTGTATTTAAGGCTATGGGAATGATAAAATTAAGTAGTCAACAGGTTAATACAGTTCTTGGCCCACCCCCATAATCCTTGCATCCTCTCTTTCTTTGTCATAAAATGATATAAACAAAATGGAAGCAAGGTGAGCTTTGAAAAGCATAATTGAAGGAGTGAAGTGAAATCATAATTACAAGCAACGACTGTCTCGGTGAAGATATCTTCACTGAAATCTTACATTCATTTATTTTCCTTTCTCCTGTAGGTGTTCCCTGTTTCTTGTGGAAAATGATGAACTCGTAGCAAAAGTGTTCGACGGCCAGCTGGTGAGAAACATTCTTTTCTTTTACCTTTTTCTTTTATTCATTTTTTTTACAGGTATGAAATGAGAGGATTTCAATGGTTCAAACAAACTAATCACCAAGCTTTATTCAAAGATGAGAACTTTCTTGCCATTTGATTATCAAACAAATGTTGTTGTTCTTGTCATTTCGGCCCCTACACTGAAAAAAATGAACCATTTTGTGTTTTTTCGTTGGTCCATACATGCTCAAACTCTAATGGACTTTGAACAATGATGTACTGAATGTGACAGTGCTTTATGAAATGACATATAACCCCCTTTGAGCCTCGGGATTTAAACACAAGTATCATGAATGAACTATCAAAATTGAAATTTGGGGATTTGATTCTTTGTTTCCTTGTTAAATCTGGCTTTAGATGTCTTCCAACAAGTCAGACGAGGTATGTATAGGTACCCCTTTTGTCTTTAGGGCAGTAAAAAAAAAGCAGTTGCCATTTCTTGACCAAACTCACTAGAATGCCTGCATTTTGGGGTTACTTTTACCACTCACTGCATGGGTTGTGGTTGAGTTTTAAGGAGAAAGTTGAGTTTAGGTTAACGTGGGGGAAATGTTGAAGAGTTATTTTTTTTCTTTGTAATATTGATTTCTTTTGATTTTGTGCAGTATGAAGCATGTGTGTGCTGCAACACATGGTCTAGTGACAGTTGCCCTGGGTTAGGGAGTAAAAACGGTGGAGATATTTTTATTCTTTTTTCTTCTTCAAATTTTGGTTTCTTTCGAAGAGCTAGTATGAAGCATGTAGGTGCTTTGACAAATGGCTCTCAGTTTTATTGGTAGTGATGGTTATTTACCTGACTGCTAAGAAAGCATAAATGCTTGTTAGTAAGCGACCATAGGACCGACCTATAGCGTAGGCTTATTTTAGCATTGGACTTGGGTTAGAGGGATAGATTTAGGCTAAGGGTTAGGTTAGGTATTGCATTTGGTCTAGACTCAGTTGAATTTAGGAATTGTGTTTAATAGTATACAAATATTGACTGCTTTGAGGGGAATGTTTACAATTCTCGCTCAAGATGATCTCAAAACTGTACTGAGCCCCGAGGACAGTGTTACAGTGGCCTGACAAATAAGCAGTCAATATTTGTTATATATGTGTACCGCATCGATCCCAAGTGTCAATCTTTTTTAAAGAGATTTTAACCCACTATGCCATAAAGTGTAATTATTTGTAGAGTCAAAAGAGTTTTCCCCGTCAAAGAACATTCCGCGTGTGTCGTCGCTCGTATCCATTGGTAATTCACGTGCATTCATTGCGTCCTTGCATCGTTACGATACCTTATTGTAATTGTCATAGATCGCTCTTTCAAAATTTTGTTCGGTGTACATGTATGATATGGTGCCATAGCTACGCGCGCACGTACAAATTAGACATAATACTATATGCCCAGTCAATATTTTTCACCATACCGCGCCTGTAGTGAATTTCATGCCCGCAAATTTGACCATTTAGCTAGAGGCCTAGAATCTAGATATGCTGTATATAATGTTGGATATTGATCACAAAGCATGTGTCCTTCAACCAGCATGTGGTTTCTTTGGTAAAGGTCAAGGCTATCTGAATTTTTGAGAAATTACGTAAATAAAATCTAAGATTTCAGAAACTTTTGTCCAGATTCACTCCTTGTGTTCTTATGAGAGGTTCTTCTTGCTGTGTATATGCAAGTTTGATAATGAAGGAGTGTGTGTGTGTGTTTGTGTATGTGTTCTCACTCTCACAGAATGGTTTATAGTGATCATTGCTTGCTTTAATTGCCAGTTGGCTCGGTGAACACTTTTGAACGACCGTTGCAAGATTCAAATTAACATTAATTCACTAAAACACCACACAAAATCTTATACATACATGTCCCAGATAACAATACGACGTTACGCCAACGTGGGGCCAACGTAAGTTGTTACGTTGGTCCAACGTCGCCAACATGATGTTGGGCCCACGGCTTTCTTGCCGGCGGGCCAACGTTGGCCCGACAGTGACAAAATGACATTAAGCCAACATCGGGCCAACGTTATGCCGACCCCTATCCGACCATATGTGCCGATGTCCTCCCGACATTGAACCAACGTTATGCCAACCTCTTTTCCACCGTATGCCGACGTCTTTCCGACATTGGACCAACGTCGTCCCAACCCTTTTTTAACCATGTGCCGACGTACGACCAACGTTATGCCAACCCCTATCCCACCATGTGCCGACGTTGTTCCGACATTGGATAAACGTTATGCCAACCCTTATCCCACCATGTGCCGACGTCTCCTCGACATTGGCCCAACGTTATGCCAACCCCTTTTCAACCATGTGCCGACGTCTCCACGACGTAGGGCCAACGTTATTCCAACCCCTATCCCACCATGTGCCGACGTAGTTCCGACATTGGACCAACGTTATGCCAACCCCTATCCCACCATGTGCCGACGTCGTGGGCTGTTACGTTGCGCCATCGTCGCCAATGTGATGTTGGGCCAACGGCTTTCTTGCCGGCGGGCCAACGTTGGCTCGACAGCGACGAAATGACATTAAGCCAACATCGGGCCAACGTCCCCCCGACGTATGACCAACGTCATGTCAACCCCTATCCCACCATATGCCGACATAGGACAAACGTAATGCCAACCCCTTTTCCACCATGTGCCGACGTCTCCCTGACGTAGGACCAACGTAATGCCAACCCCTTTTACACTATGTGCTGACGTCTCCCCGACGTTGTCCTAACATAATGCCAACCCTTTTCCCACCAAGTGCCGACCCCTCCTCTACCATGTGCCAATGCTAGACCAACGTTATGCCAACCTCTTCTCCACCATTTGCCGACGTAGAAGCAACGTTATGCCAACCCGTATCCCACCATGTGCCGACGTTGTACCTCCCCTTTCCAGTTCATGCCAACATCCTTCTGACATTACCAACACCAACTCAAAAACATATTCACACCAACATCAGTCGTCCGTTCATAAGAACATCGTCAAGATCATACTACATCGGACATGTACAATCATTCAAACACATGCATCACAACGTGACAAGGAAAAGCCAAGTAGTTTAAGATTGGATTAAATAAATAAACAGAGCAAAATCCACAAAATGAAGATAGTAACAATTTCATCAAAATTAGACTGAATTTGAGAAAAGTTCATTATAGAACTCGACTTAGATCCCTCTGGAAGATAATAACAATATTGAAGCAAGAGAGACATGTTATTTTAATTTCGTCATGTCTATTATCTTGTACATTTTAATCACTATCAAAACTTGATAACAACTTATTTGTCCCATTTTAATGAAAGCATCTTGCTTCTTAGAATTTGCTCTGAATACATCCCCCTCCCTCCAAAACAAAAGAACAAGGAAAATAAACTGATTTTGTGATAAAACATACTTTATTTTATGTGTAATAAACAAACTGTTGTAAATGTGAATACAATTATTGTACATCTTTCTTTTGTATTTTCATTTTCGTTTGAATTCGAAAAAGATGTAAACGTAGTTTCAAGTTCAAGGTATCTCAATGTGTCACAATATAGGCCTACTATCTATGAATGCTAGGACGATAGGAGCTGTTATAAAATGAATTGTCGCTTACACGTAACACAACATAACATACTGAAATTCATTGTACGAATATAATAAACAATCTTCACAACTTCCCGAGTAAAACAAAACAAACTTTCTGGCAGATGAACACGATTGCTTATGACAAGATTCCTCTACATATGTACAGCACAAAAATATAAAGAAATTAATAAAGTGTCCACCATTTGCATACCAAGAACTAGGCAATTAATGTAAACAATGTTCCATAAAAAATAAAAAATAAAATTCAGAGAAATTGCCAACATTTCTTATGCTTAGGCATTTCAGAGATGCTGATACATTTCGTCGCCATATCTATTGTTAACACATCTACAAACTGTTTTTTTTAGGAGGGACAGTATACATTGCTTGAATGTGTGAAGTAAAGCAATCGCTAAATGTTTATATAACAAGAGAGGAAATTTGAAAGTGAAGTAAGAAAGAGCAGAGCTTGTAAAGGGAAAAACACAAGTTTCTTCACTCTGATATACCACTTTCAATATTCTTTAAATTGAGAAGAAGGTAGTACGAAAAACATTCAGTCACTTAGATATATGAAACATTTTTTTCTTACCTTTGAAATTCTTTATAGCATGCATTTAGTTGACACGTTATACAGGCATTCAAATCAATTACGACCTTCTTCGACTCATGGTATAGCTCTCTTTTTAAAATTGGGCCATTAGTGAAATTTCACCACAATAAATAACAAGTAAAGATGCATAGCACACTATTTAATAACAAAAGTTATTGTTTATGTTTGTGTACAAAACATAATGCCTGCAGAGCTGGCTAGCAAGCACCGTAGCTTGCCTAAGCGGAGATCGTTCTTGATATAACATCACTAATCCTTTGGTCAATCATTCCGAGGAACTCTGAGAATTGTAAGGGGCGGGGTCCACCATTAGACGAGCAACTTGGAGAGGTTTTCAAAAAATTGTAAAAAATATAAGGAGGCATTTATTTATGAAACAATTGTTATTATGTTGGTTTAAAAGGGTCTTGATACAAGACATAAAAGTTTAAATTTCCTAAGGCAATGGACCTTTAAAGAATGGGTTGGTCGGAATCAAAATCTTGTCTAGCTTGTGGTGGTACAACTTCGACATCTGCGGCAAAAAAAAAGAAGAAGAAAGAAACCAAACAAGATTTAAAAGCAGATCATGGAAACATCACCTTGAAATAGTACGGATATTAATCAAATAGTACGGCATTCAAGGGAAGTAGTCCTGAGTGGCACATCCTCCCTAGTTTTGATGAAATTTCATGGATAGAAGTACTTTTGTCATGAAAATAACTTCGTTCAAACTTTAGAGCGAATGACCCAGACGTATGGAAATTAGAAAGGAATGGATTTCTTTTATTTTTGTCTTGTTTAATTAGAATAGCATCAAACACTCTTCTTAACAAAGGAAATATACATTTGAGGTAAAATGGCAGTAATATTCTTCAATAGTAAGAACCAATTTATAGTATCTGTTTGCTCAGTGTTGAGATGCTTGATTGATAACAGTTTAAAGCCCCTCTTAAGTGTTGGATCCCAAAATTAGCCAAAGAATAGATGGCACAATCTCACTTAAATGGTATGATGTAAAAGAGGATGTCATTAACACCCGGACACTTCTGCAAATAGAATATTGCCCTAACAAATGTGTTTGAAGTAGAATATGGATGAAAGAATACAAAATTTGCGTTTTCTGTATACAACACAAAACCCTTAGTAAGTTTGTATTCTTTCTAATTTTTAGGACAAATGTTTGAAGAAGAGTGGCATTTTCTTTCACATCATTATAACATTGAAGTGAAATGTGAAGCTCCCAATACCTTTTTTTTGTATTTATGTAAGCTCCCATTACTTGAGAGAGCTCGAGGGGCTTCAAAGTAGAAACAAAAACACAAAGCTATATCGTTAGTTGCTTATACAATAAACAAATCAATTGACTGTGTTTTGTTTTTTGTGGCACCCTGCATTCAGAATTGTTTCCCAAAAAATACTGCTATAAGCAGTATTTCATGATTTGTTGTTGTTGAATAGTTTTGTAAGTGATCACAATGCAGTTTCTCAATATAATCAGGAAAAAGATACTAGCATCCGTTAGCAGCTATGTCCTACACAAACGTACATTAATCCAGTACATTTGTACTTTGTGTGCAGGGCACAACTATAACGAATACTAAGAAGTGCTATCCTGTCTACCTGTATAACTAAATACAAAATGAATAAAATGCCAAATGACATACCCATATTTCTGAATGTTGAGGTCAATGGGGTCGTTGGGGTCGACAGTGTTCTGGAGGTTGATGGAGTCGATGTCGAAGGGGTCCTTGGTGCTGTTGATGCTGTTCTGGATGATCGAGGTAGGGGTAGCTGGATCTGAACGGGTAGAGGAATCTGGAATTTGTTGTGAAGTTGACGATATGAAATGCAGGATTTAATATTTAAATTTCAGAATTGTAGGGATTATGGGAGAAAAAAGTATTGGGATTTGGAAGAGCTATATAGAATTGAATGTATTAATAAAGAACGTCAGAATTTTAAAAATAAATAATTAGAATATTTACCTTCAGTTCAAATTATAGCAATTTAATATACATGTGCATAAACAATAAAAACTAATTTGAAAATGAGAATAAAAATGCAGCAATAATCAAATTTGTGAATGAAAATTGTGAATGAAAATTATGGGATCGATCAGTGTTACCCCCGCCCCCAATAGTTTTTCCTATTTACTATTTGATCAAATTGAGGTTTTTGGCCAATTACGACTTTAAATGATTGCAAATGCCAAAATGAGGGTAATTCCCACCAGCTACCTCTTTCACATCACACTCACAATCCACTAAATGTGTTGATACAAAGTTATTGCATATTTTGGCAGACTTGGCACACTCCCTTGTAAGATTTCAGGAGGCTAGAAACATGTACTAGCGGGATATCTCAATTCACAGCCCAATCTCGTAATTTATTCCTTTTCGAACTGAATCATCATCAGAATATATTGAGCTACTACAGAGTATAGTATAGACCTACTTCTAAATCTGAAAGTATCAGAGACTATAATATCATTTAGATATGCATAAAAAATGATGCGTCTTCCCATTCAGCTCTATTTGATTCAATTGGTCTTTCCAACAATGCATCAGCACCTTCAACACTTGTAACACCAACAGATTCACAATCATTTGATTCATGGTCGACATTGCATATTGGGATGAACATCATCACTGTCACGGACGCTGCAACATGATGCATCAATACATCACCTAGGTCTAACTCTAAGTCAGGAACATATTAACATTTATCACGGCAAACACTCAATGCATCTGATGCCGACACTTCGGCCCCCATCATAGCCATCATAGCCATCACTCACACTTCAATTGCACGCAGCGGGTGTGCTTGCTAAGAGTACGCCGAGCGGCCGTCACGGTACTCACTTTCACTTTCATTTGGACAGGGAATTATCAATGATTACTTTAACAATTTCTCATGCTATTTCCCTCGCTTTGTGACGGGGAGTTCTCACACTATACAATTTATCAGTTTCACGCGACATGCTCACAAAAATAACGTTGAAAGAGAAAGAAAATCATTCATTTACCATGCAGTGTTGGTACTCCCCGGCAACTGATCCAGACAAATGGACAGAATATGGCTGACGTACGTTGCAATTATATGAGCACGTGGGCATGCGCACGCATGCATGCAATTTTTTTTACCCGGATGTAGCTACGTATTTGCTACGTTGGCCCAACGTCATATAGCCAACCAATATATACATGCACTATTTATCAGTAAAGATGGAGACGATATAAACCAACGGTAAGCCAAGGTTAATTGGCCTAACGTCGCGTATATTAGCCAACATATCCACCATTTCTCAGTAAAATTTGAAACGATGGACTAACATTGAGCCAACGTTGGCCCAAAGTCGAATAGCCAATTAACAGCCACAATTTATCAGTAATAATTAAATGTGACAATGGACCAACGTTCAGCCAACATTGGCCCAACGTCGAATAGCCAATAGCCACCATTTATCAGTGAAAATCGCGACAATGAGCCAACGTTAGCCCAACGTCGAATAGCCAACCCAAAGCCAACATTTATCAGTAATAAATGACACAATAGACCAACGTTCAGCCCACATTGGCCTAACGTCGAATAGCCAACCAAACGCCAACAGTTATCAGTAATATTTGAGACAATGGACCAACGTTCAGCCAACATTGGCCCAACGTCGGATAGGCAACCAATAGCCACCATTTATCAGTGAAAATGGCAACAATGGACCAACGTTGAGCCAACTTTAGCCCAACGTCAAATAGCCAACCAATAGCCACCATTTATCAGTAAAAATAGTGACAATGGACCAACGTTCAGCCAACATTGGCCCAACGTCGAATAGCCAACTAATAGCCACCATTTATCAGTGAAAATGGCGACAATGAGCCAACGTTAGCCCAACGTCGAATAGCCAACCAAAAGCCAACATTTATCAGTAATAAATGAGACAATAGACCAACGTTCAACCAACATTGGCCCAACGTCGCATAGCCAAGCAATAGCCAACATTTATCAGTGATAATTGAGACGATGGACCAACATTTAGCCAACATTGGCCCAACGTCGAATAGCCAACCCAAAGCCACCATTTATCAGTGAAAATGGCGACAATGGACCAACATTGAACCAACAATAGCCCAACGTCGAATAGCCAACAAAAAGCCAACATTTATCAGTGAAAATGGCGACAATAGACCAACGTTCAGCCAACATTGGCCCAACGTCGAATAGCCAACCAATAGCCATCATTTATCAGTGAAAATGGCGACAATGGACCAACGTTCAGCCAACATTGGACCAACGTCGAATAGCCAACCAATAGCCACCATTTATCAGTGAAAATGGCGACAATGGACCAACGTTCAGCCAACATTGGCCTAACGTCGAATAGCCAACCAATAGCCACCATTTATCAGTGAAAATGGCGACAATGGACCAACGTTCAGCCAACGTTTGCCCAAAGTCGAATAGCCAACTAATAGCCACCATTTATCAGTAAAAATGGTGACAATGGACCAACGTTCAGCCAACATTGGCCCAACGTCGAATAGCCAACCAAAAGCCAACATTTATTAGTGAAAATGGCGACAATGAGCCAACGTTAGCCCAACGTCGAATAGCCAACCAATAGCCAATATTTATCAGTGATAATTGAGACGATGGACCAACATTTAGCCAACATTGGCCCAACGTCGAATAGCCAACCAATAGCCACCATTTATCAGTGAAAATTGCGACAATGGACCAACATTAAACCAACAATAGCCCAACGTCGAATAGCCAACCAAAAGCCACCATTTATCAGTGAAAATGGCGACGATGGACCAACAATTAGCCAACATTGGCCCAACGTCGAATAGCCAACCAATAGCCACCATTTATCAGTGAAAATGGCGACAATGGACCAACGTTCAGCCAACATTGGCCCAACGTCGAATAGCCAACCAATAGCCACCATTTATCAGTGAAAATTGCGACAATGGACCAACGTTCAGCCAACATTGGCCCAACGTCGAATAGCTAACCAATAGCCACCATTTATCAGTGAAAATGGCGACAATGGACCAACGTTCAGCCAACATTGGCCCAACGTCGAATGAGCCAACCAATAGCCACCATTTATCAGTAAAAAATGGCGACGATGGCCCAACGATTAGCCAACGTTGGCTTGCCGACTGCGACCCTGCCGACCGTGGCCGACGTTGGCCCAACGCCGTATTGTTATCTGGGGTAATGTGAAAGTTGACCTAGCTGTTACACATCCCAGTTCATCATTATGGGAGAAAGTAAGAATGTATACCGTAATTAACGGTGTATAAACTGCACCTTTTTTGCCGCCGAAAAAAATTCAAAGTCGGGGGGGGGGGGGTGCGGTTTATACACGGTACACCAAAAAAAAAAAAAAAAAAAATTTTAAGTTTCAATTTTTGCCCCTCCATCTGGGGCTATGTCTGGCAATGTCTCCCAGCTCGGTAATTGGTGTGTTGACTCACCACTCGGAAACTAGAACAACACTCAAATTTGTCTGTCATCTTGGTTTGAAAGTAATCTTTCTGATAGATCTCAATATGTAGTTTATAATAATAATTCCTCCAAATAAATAAAAAAATGTAAGGGCGAAAAAGAGGGGTGCGGTTAATACATGAGAGCAGTTTATACAACGTTAATTACGGTACTAGTCTAATTGCAAAGTACTTTCCATTACTACATGTAAATTACCTGTAGTAACAAAGTGTTTTGACTCGGAATGCTGATGTGAGTATTTTTACAATGGAACGTCTCCTTCTAACGCATACTCATTTTTCATCGACAGGAATCGGGAGACGAAGTACGGATACCAATCACACATGGCATTGCGGGCCATGTAGCCAGTACAGGTGAGAATTAGTTGTCATAGTGTGAACACTTCCACCTTGATTTATTATATAATTGCTTCCACACTAGATCTTTTGTCTGATACGCTGACATTCTCATTGTAATTTCAATGGGTTTGCTTGGGTCACACAAGGCGAGTTATATTTCATTCTGAAGATTAGAGACTAAGATTTTAAACTGTGTCAAAATTATGAAATCAGAAATATCCATACGTATTGGTCACTTTGTAATGGATGGTCACATATTGCATTGTATTCATTATATAATCCAGTTATCATTATGATGATTTGTTCTTTCACTTTTATTTATAATCATTTTGTTGCCATTGGATGAGAGAGAGAGAAAGAGAGAGATTAAACTTAGACAGAAGTTCTGGTCCTTGTACACCTTGTTATATTATCCTTTACTGATTGAGTATGCTGCCCTCATTGTTCCGCATGCAGGTAAAATCTTGAACATCAAGGATGCCTACTCTCACCCTCTGTTCTACCGAGGAGTGGATGATAGCACCGGATTCAGGACCAAGAACATCCTATGTTTCCCGATCAGAGATGGACCAAGTATGCAACTCTTTCTAGTCTCTTCAATCTCACACTTTAAAGTAGTCACCGGAAGAAAATTCACAACAACTGATAATTATGGACAAATTATATATGGATGGAAAGGTTTTCTCTTGAAAAACATGAATAATTTGCTGAAAAATCATATAGATACCATGGAAAGGCATAAAATGCAATTTTGTGGCTAGTTGTGTCTTGCATGTGACGTCACAAATCTTGACGCTCTACGGAGGACCGCTGAAGGCAGAAAGTCTTGATCTCTAAATTAACATTCTTGAGAGATGATTACTGCAGGCCCCGAACATATTTTGAAGAGGGAAGTTGTTATATTTGATCACAGTAAGGCCTTTTCTATGCAATGATATGAATTTTGCAATCAATTCAAAACACTTTTGATTCTTTGGGTGACTACTTTAAAACTCATCTTGAGCTCTGGTGTGGGAATCGTATTTTGAGAGAAAAATTGCTCTGATTTATTCTGGATTGTTTACCCTACATTAGATTGGTTGTTTGAACCATTAAAATTAAAAAAAATGCACAAAAAAATTACTGGGCATTGTCTTCGATAAAAACCACAACTCCCATTTGCACATAGTGACCTGTGTGAAGCACATGGTTTCGGCCCAACTACCCTATTTCCTTATCTTTCTACGCTCATTACTCAGCCGACTCACAAGTAGGTCTTATTCTTAATTATTGTGGAGATTATTCCCCTTGCATTGTCTACGAAAGTAATGATCTCTAAAAAATTGATTGAATTTGGGTTGTTTTTCAAGTAGAATTTGTTTTCCTTTTTTTTTTAAAGAAAAGCATTACTGGTATGCAAAGCAAAGAAAGGTATAGTTAGTTGTATAAGCTCGTTAATTTTTCAAACTCATATTTTTTTTTTGATAAATGAAGGAAAAATTTGATATTTTGTTCTCATCAATCATCATTTAGCTGATTATGTGTATGTTTGTGTTTTTATGCACTTACTATTCTCCTTTGTGTTTTTTTCACAGCTGTCGTTGGAATTGCCGAACTATGCAATAAAGTCAGTGGTAAGTTCGGATAATGCAAGTAGCAGAGTTTCTGAAGTAAATAGTCTTTACTTCATATTTCTTGGTCTGAATTAAAAAAAATGTTTCCTTATCTGCTCCTTTTTCTTCCTACGTCCTCTTACTTTTTTCTTTCCTGTCTTTTTTGGGGGGCCAGCGTTTTTTTTTTTTTTGGGGGGGGGGGGTGACTGCCCTAGATAATGCCTTACCTTACTTTGGGCCAATTGGGCACTAGTGCATAAACTGTGCTATCTGTCATATATTTGTTTCATTATAATGTGCGTAATAAACAAGTGATTGGTTTAGCCTCATGAGGTTAGGCCCATGCCTTTGCATTGGCGAAAAACAAAACATCTTTACGTCACTCTATTGTGTTAGCTCTGTTGTTATGATGGAGGAATCCCTTCAAGATCTGTTTGTACGTTTACAATGTAATGAAGCAACGTCATAACTGTATTATAACTGTAGCTAAATAGGAATTGTGTATCATTATTGTTGTTGTAATTAAATATTTTCATGTATGAGGCATAAATGTTCATTTCTATTCCGCCCTTTTCCTTCTTTTATAAGCGCATAGGGACTTTCTTTGTGTTAGTGATATGCGCTACACAAATAACGTTCATCATTATTATTATTATTATTATTATTATTATTATTATTATTATTATTATTATGATGATTAAATATGACGCACATTTATTCTTCTACAATTGAGGATAAGCAAGGATATGGGGGCAGGCTTTTTGGAAGATGAATCATTCTGCACATTCATCTTGCTGAAGGCTTTTGATTTTAAACCCAGATTTGTCTCCTGAATGTATGTAAGAGTTTAATAAAACCTTGGGACTAACCTTGGGCTGGGCTATTAAAGGGAAGTTCCGTTACTCCAGAGATTCACTTGTCATGAGCCTTGAAGATAAATGAAACTTTGAAAGACGACAGGTCTTTGGGATGAAGAATTTATGGATAGACAGATCGCAAGGAACCTTCGGTGTAGCAAACCGCATAATTGAATAGTTTCAGGAATTTCAAACTTTGTACCTGTACAGGCCTCTGTTTCATATAAATTGTTTTTAATAACAAGTTACAATAACTGTTATAAGTTACCGAAATTGTTGCATTTGATTGGCTGAGAGCAAATTTGTGATGGGAATTTAGCATTTGTTATTGATGAAAAGTTTAATGAAACATGGCCTTGACCCAATAACAGACAGGACCGCAAACAAAAAATCAACCTAGGAATGTAATCCACTTACACACATGTATTTATTCTAATAGTGAGAAATATTTGGATTAAACAACAATGATTATTTGAGTGACCTTGGTTGTCTCTTTTTTGTTTTGTTACCTGCTCCAGGTTTGTTCTTCACAAAACACGACGAAGATGTGGCATCTGCCTTTTCCATCTACTGTGGCATCAGTATTGTACATGTGAGTTACTGCCTTTTATCACTCATTGTTCTTATGTGTATATTATCTTCTTTGGCTACAGTGTAGTACATGAGCTTCTACCTTTTATCTTAATAGCTGCGGCAGAAAATCGTGACTTAGTTTCATCTAATACTTTGTACAGCTGCACTAATGACGCATGTATGGATTCCGTAAAGTATATAAAGTAAAGGAATAACACATTCTATGCTCACTTGAATCCCGCATTGCACTAAGGATAAGCTACAATGAACGTTGTCATCAAAAACAGCAATATGTATTCGTTTTTCAAGAGAATTTTGGTATGTAATCAAGTTTTTTAATCATTTGATATTGGTTAATTTTTTTTTTTACCAGTTGCTGTGTATAGAGTGGTGGGATTCAGTCAAGAAGATCAATTGGAAAGTTATGTTTTTATGACAACAGAATGATTCGTGAGAGGCTGTTAGGCCCTTTAAAGATAAAGAAGAAGAATACAGGGTGACGCACATAGGTGTGCACCACCACCTCCTCAATAGTCCCGTCCTCATCAGCTCAAGATATCCCGCTATTTGAACTCTCCAGATCGCAAATTAACTTGGGTCTTCATCAGTCCAAAGTTGCAATTAGCAAGATATTTGTTCGAGATAATCATCCCAAGATATCTCGGGCTAGTTTGCAAAATATCCCGCTATTTGGCAAAAAATCCTGCTAGTTGTTCGGTGCGTCTTCACCAGCCCAAAGACTAATCCTGGGCATAATATCTCAAGCTCGAGTTTCAAGTTTCGAGGTCAAGTCTCGAGCTGATGAAGACGCGATTTGCAACTTCGGGATTATTTCCCGAATCAGAAACAGTGGGCTATTTGGCAATCTCAAGCTGATGAGGACAGGCCTATTGTGAAATGTTGCCTTCCCTTGGTTACTTAAGATCCAATCATTATGGGTCGAAGAACTCTAATTCTCGCTACCCTAAATAGGTACGAAAATCTCGAAATTCGCGAGACGAGGTAATTTTCACTCTCTCGGGTCGTCACTACAACTTCCGGTATAGAGTCCCATCCCGCTGGCGCTAGCGCCTGTGTTCGCTGTGCAGAGTTTTCACGCACGCTAAAATCGATGCCAATCAGTGTAATTTGTACAGATTATAATATGCAATGGAAAGCTTCGGGCAGAATTAGTGACTTTAGCACAAAAGGCCGTTAAACTCTACCGTGAAAGAGAGGGTTGTGATCACGAACGCCTGCACAGGAAGCTGTAATGTCGAAAAGCTATCCCATAATGCAATGCGCTTTTCAGGATTTTCCCCGGATCTCGGCAGAATCGCTATTTGGGGTAGCGAGAATTCCTGAGATGTCCGCCTACTTGCTGTGAAGGTTTGGTGGATGTTTGAACAAGTTGAGTGCATTTATAGCTCTTTGAGATTGCTCTTCTGAGAATAAGAGTGCCAGTGAGGACATGCTGGATCTTCCAGATGGCAAGGAAAAGAGGGGGAAATATATATGGCTCTATGTCTGAGAGGAAGAGGGCGATTGAACTACGACAAGCGGTAACAGAATGAAATTAAGTTAATGAATGAAGATTAATGAAGACCACCCTCTTCAACCTACTTGAAGGTGATGACTATGGCTGGAATGTGAGATGCAGGACTGCTATTGGAAATCAAAGAAGAAGAAGAGGGCCAGGAGTGTCTGAGAGACAAGAGCGCTATACACGAACCTACTATTATTATCATTGTTTAATATTAAGGATGTCACTTTATCTTTGTGTTGCTTTTTCGAAGATTTGGACAATATAATTTTATTCAATAATTGGCAATAATGCATAACAATTGTTATCTTTTTTATGTTTCTTATACACCTGCTAATATATTGGTGTCCTTACTCTATATATACCTAGGTTTCCTTCAGTTGAGTTTAAAAAAAGAAAAGAATTGGTTTATAGTTACCATAATATATTTCTCATGATGTAAAACTAATTCTTTCTCATCTCATTTTACTTCTTTTTCTCATTGATCTCTGTTTTTGTGATGTCACTATTTTCTTTCTAATTGTTATACTATGTCTTCTAACTTTTTTTTTCCATATAGAAGAAATTTAACCCTGAAAGTGCCACCGGTATCAACCTTTTTCTAAAAACACAGCTTTCAGAGACGAGTTAATCATAGTTCCTTTATTCGTTGTTTAAAATGATATGATGCAAAACAATATTTAACCCTTTATATCCAACTTCACAGGTCATAAATTGGTTTAAGGATTCAAGAAGAAAGACACACATTTCAATCTGTCTAGATATATAGCCCATTTATTTTCAATATTAGATATTAAAGATTTACAACAATGCATTTCATTATATTTATCTTTTCAGAGTTTGCTATACAAGAAGATGAAGGATGCTCAATACCGCAGCACATTGGCCAATGAGCTTATGATGTACCATATGGAGGTAGGTTTCTATATCATGTAGTCTGTTGAATACTGAATGCTGTTGGCTTGAATGAGTGGGTATATACAACCTTGATGATCCAGGTTGGACTTGGAATCCTAAGACTTGGATTCCTAAGACTTGGGATCCTAAGACTTGGACTCCTAAGACTTGGGATCCTAAGACTTGGCATCCTAAGACTTGGCATCCTAAGACTTGGAATCCTAAGACTTGGGATCCTAAGACTTGGAATCCTAAGACTTGGACTCCTAAGACTTGGGATCCTAAGACTTGGGATCCTAAGACTTGGGATCCTAAGACTTGGAATCCTAAGACTTGGAATCCTAAGACTTGGGATCCTAAGACTTGGAATCCTAAGACTTGGGATCCTAAGACTTGGGATCCTAAGACTTGGGATCCTAAGACTTGGACTCCTAAGACTTGGGATCCTAAGACTTGGAATCCTAAGACTTGGAATCCTAAGACTTGGAATCCTAAGACTTGGACTCCTAAGACTTGGGATCCTAAGACTTGGACTCCTAAGACTTGGAATCCTAAGACTTGGGATCCTAAGACTTGGGATCCTAAGACTTGGGATCCTAAGACTTGGAATCCTAAGACTTGGAATCCTAAGACTTGGGATCCTAAGACTTGGAATCCTAAGACTTGGGATCCTAAGACTTGGGATCCTAAGACTTGGGATCCTAAGACTTGGACTCCTAAGACTTGGGATCCTAAGACTTGGAATCCTAAGACTTGGGATCCTAAGACTTGGAATCCTAAGACTTGGACTCCTAAGACTTGGGATCCTAAGACTTGGGATCCTAAGACTTGGGATCCTAAGACTTGGAATCCTAAGACTTGGAATCCTAAGACTTGGGATCCTAAGACTTGGAATCCTAAGACTTGGGATCCTAAGACTTGGGATCCTAAGACTTGGGATCCTAAGACTTGGACTCCTAAGACTTGGGATCCTAAGACTTGGGATCCTAAGACTTGGAATCCTAAGACTTGGGATCCTAAGACTTGGGATCCTAAGACTTGGGATCCTAAGACTTGGGATCCTAAGACTTGGAATCCTAAGACTTGGAATCCTAAGACTTGGGATCCTAAGACTTGGAATCCTAAGACTTGGGATCCTAAGACTTGGGATCCTAAGACTTGGGATCCTAAGACTTGGACTCCTAAGACTTGGAATCCTAAGACTTGGAATCCTAAGACTTGGAATCCTAAGACTTGGGATCCTAAGACTTGGAATCCTAAGACTTGGGATCCTAAGACTTGGGATCCTAAGACTTGGGATCCTAAGACTTGGACTCCTAAGACTTGGGATCCTAAGACTTGGAATCCTAAGACTTGGGATCCTAAGACTTGGAATCCTGAGACTTGGGATCCTAAGACTTGGGATCCTAAGACTTGGGATCCTAAGACTTAGACTCCTAAGACTTGGAATCCTCAGACTTGAAATCCTAAGACTTGGACTCCTAGGAATATTTGAGCTCTAGTGCTGTAGTTATAAGTGATGAAAGCAGGTTTAAGGAGGTTATTTAAGCAGGTTTCAACAATTGTAATGATCCTGGACCATCATATCAAGAGCTGTATATGGTTAACAACTAAAAAATTTATACCCTTACCAAGTTTTGTAATTGTTTAAGGGATGTCGATATATGGTGGTAGTTGTCCTAGAGTATTTGAGCAGAGTATCATGAGGATGTAAGGTTAAAAAATTGCATTTTGTTTTGATCCCTTTGTCTACAGGTCGGGGATGACGAGTCGAAGATTCTCCTGAGCAGCGAAATCCCGTCAATCAAACAGTTCAGTCCCCGGATGTCAAATTTCACATATTCCCCTCGCAGTATTCCAGACTCGGACACATTGAAGGTATGCTCATCGACATTCCACGAGCAGGGTGGTGGTAGTGATGATATTGGTGATGATGATAATGATGATTGGGATGGTGATGGTGATGAGAATGTTTCTGTTCAAGTGAAGATTGTACTGATTGGTTGGAGTGAGGATATTGATGATTGAGGTAATAGAGGCTAAATTTTAATGTGAAGGATGATGTTGGTGGTGGTGGTGAGGAGGAGGAGGATGTTGTTGTTGTTGGGGATGATGAAGATGATGGTGATAATGATGATGGTGGTGGTGGTGGTGGTGGTGATGAAGAAGAAAATGATGATGATGATGATGGTACTGGTAATGATGATAGTGATAATGATGATATTGATGATGATGCTGATGATGACGATGATGGTGGTGGTGGTGGTACTGGTAATGATGATAGTGATGATGATGATGATGATGATGATGATGATGATGATGATGATGATGATGATGATGATGATGATGATGATGATGATGATGATGATGATGATGATGATGATGATGATGATGATGATGATAACGATGATGATGATAATGATTATGATTATGAAAATGATGATGATAACGATGATGATGATGATGATGAAAATGATGAAGATGATGATGAAACTCGAGATTATGTAACTAGGGATGATGATAATAACACTCAAGATGATACTATTGATGGTGATCATGATGATGATACTGATTATAATGGTGATGATGATGATGATTTTGATGATGATAATGATAAATCATGACTCCTGAACATATTTCCCTCTCACATTTCCAGGCGTGCATGTGTATGTTTGACGACATGAATATGATCAACCGCTGGCGAATCAACCGAAGAACCCTCGCCAAGTTCTGCATGCTTGTCAAGAGGGGCTACAGGGACCCGCCGTACCACAACTGGTACCATGCCTTCACCGTCGGTCACTTCTGCTATCTTCTCTACAAGAATATGGACTCCCTCAAGGTCCTCACGTAAGTCCCGATGTAATCATCAGGGATGCCAGTTTTCAGGCAATAACCTGAATTCAGGCCCTGGCGAGTTATTTTCAGACCATAGTTAAGGTTTTTTTTGTGTACAAAATAGATCATTCTAGCTGATTTTCAGGCCCTCTGATCAATTTTAACTGACATCCCTGAATCATAGATTAATCTTGGATAAAGTGCATAATTTGTTGTGATGCCCCCTTCCCCCGACTATTATCACCAAAGCAACTTCTACCCTTATGAACAGCAACTCCTGACACTTTATTCCTGTAGGATGGTATCATGGGCACCCTAGATTAAAGATTGTTCTAAATGTATCAATGTCTCTGGGGTAATTGTCTGACATGGTGAGAGCTGTCTGGATAGCAGCAGTCCTGGGTACGATTGCCTGTGTGACAAGTAATAATCATGATATACAGTCAAACCTGCTGTAGTGACCACCTGTCTACAAAGACCACATTTTTTGTTTCCCTTGAAAATAGTTTCTCATTGAAACATGTACTATAAAAGGAACCTGTCTACAAAGACCACCTTTTCTACAAAGACCACTTTTTGTGTTTCCCTTGGGTGGTTGCTATAGACAGATGTGACTGTAATAATAATAAACATTTATAATACACCTGGGTGGAGAGTGGCAAATATAGATTAACCTCTTGCCAAAGGACGTTTGTGCCGGGCTGAGATTTGAACCTCAGACTTTGCGATCTACACTCTGGTAACTTATCTACTAGACCACAACACCTGATTATTTACTTTTGAGAATTTCTGAACTAAAAATGAACAACTGGTGATGTCGAGCAACATTAGGTACCGGTATACTTTTTGTAAAAGACGTTTCTTCTGAGAATTGGGTGTCGTCTGTATTTTAGCATTGGGGAAAGAGAGTTCAGTATTCAATGAGTTTAGATATCAACCAACCTTTGCTTTGATATTGTGTTTTTACAGTGAGATTGAGGTGTTTGCGTTATTTGTGGCCTGTCTGTGCCATGACTTGGATCACAGAGGAACAAACAACAGCTTCCAAGTTCACTCGGTAAGACATTCTGCTTTATTCATGCAAATATATGCAAATGTATGCAAATATATGATAATATATATGATAAATACTTTTGTGTATATTTTTGAACAAATATATAATATCTTTGTGATACTTTCTATTTGGAAACTAGGCCTATGTCCTGAATGACATGTAAGCTAATAAAAAAATATGTGTATAAACTTGTTTGGTTACCATTACAACAATGCAATAATAACACAATGGTAAGCATATATTATTTGGATATATGTGCATTTAGCGAATATTAATTTCTGCTAGTGTCAATCAATGGTATCACATTTTGTATAACACCATGGCAAAGAATCACTTTTTACTCTAGGGAAATTTGAATACCCTTTTGTATTTCATACAGAAATCATTGGTATATTTATTGAAAGATTTGTTATCATGTTGTTGGCATCAAAAGCCCTCATTGAAATATACATGTTGACAAACTTATTTTCTTGTTTGTTTGGTTGCTATAGCAATCAGTACTGGCGGCTCTCTACAGCTCTGAAGGTTCAGTCATGGAGAGACATCACTTTGCTCAGGCTATGTGCATCGTCAACACAGAGGGATGCAACATCTTTGAGAACCTCAACAGAGACGTAAGATCAACGTTTCGCTCCTCTATCTCTCTCTCTCTCTCTTTCTCTCTCTCTCTCTCTCTCTCTCACTCTCTTTCTCTCTCTCCCCTCTCTCACCCTCTCTGTCCCTCCTTTATGTTTTCAACAAAACATTACAAATCAATTATAAACATTTAAAATAAATGTAGAAATACATATTGGAAACAGAGGGGTCCACTAAAAAGCAATGCTTGTACAAGTGTGAACACCTCAAATGACACCTCTCGTCCACCCCCTCATTAACAGGAATATCAGAAGGCCCTGGACCTGGTCCAGGACATCATCCTAGCGACAGACCTGGCCCATCACCTCAGGATCCACAAAGACCTGGAGAAGATGGCCAGGGACGGGTACAACGTGGACGACCCGGAACATCACAAGCTGCTGCTCTGCATGCTCATGACCTGCTGTGACCTCTCAGATCAGACCAAGAACTGGTCCTGGACTAAGAAGATTGCTGTAAGTACTAGCTAGATCGCTCTTCTGTGCGATTGCGGATTATCTGTCAAAGACCTGGGGGTCGTTTCACAAAGATCCTACATGTAAGTTGAACTTAACTCGAAGTTGGACTTAACAATTATGGAAAGCTATTAGCATCTTTGAAAATATTTTTTTTAAGTATCTTAAATGGCATAGAATATTGATTCCAATTATCTATTATCAAGGAGATTTCATGTTCTTGATGTGGAATTATGGAACAGTCTGAAATACTTGAATTTTTGCTTCTGAATGTATTTTATTTCAAGGCTACAAATAGCTCTCCATAATGTTTAAGTCCAACTTAAAGATAAGTTTGACTCAGAATCTTTGTGAAACACCCCCCCCCCCCCCCTGAACAGTTAAATTGAGTGGTACAGACACACCACGAATATTTAAAGATAATATTAATGATATTGATATTCGTTTAATGGTAACTCAAGTCCCCTCATCCATTGTTGCTGTAGGTCTTTCATAGTCTTCGCTTTTGTCATGTACCAATGAAAAGAGATTTAGTATCAGATATTGGCAGGGGATGAGTAGGAATTAGAGGCAAGGGTCAGAAAATGAGAGAACTTGGTAGTGCACCAAACAGAAGAATTTTTAGAAAGTACTGGAAAGATTAAAAGGGGTGTAGAGGGAGAGGAAAGCTTTGAAAGTGTGACATTTTGTACATATATCGTGTACGTGTGGTTAGGGGATGAGGTACTATTATGCAGACCTTCCAGAGATAACGTGTTTGGATGTAAATCACTATATGGCTTCTTAAAACCATGAAATGTCAGAGTCATTTGTTGTCTCGTCAGTTTTTGTAAGTGATGCAAAGAAACTTGGAAAACAGGATGATAATGAGTCCATAATTAAAGCCTTTTTGAAGGACGTCCCACATCAGTTTTTGTAAGTGATGCAAGGAAACTTGGAAAACAGGATGATAATAAGTCCATAATTAAAGCCTTTTTGAAGGACGTTCCACTGCTCACGTGCGAACAGATATTACTGCAGAATGTCCTTAAGTTCTTAAGTGAAGCAATAAAAGAGATATAGTCCATGTGACGATGAGATTAAGATGGAGTATTACTATTGAACCATTTGCCTCGTAAACATACCGGTAAAGGCTTCTTAAAACCAGAAAACATCAGTGTAACAAGTCATGTTATTGTTTTGTTAGTACGGTAAGTAATTTAAGGAATCTGGGAAAACAGGATGAATTAAACTAAGAAAAGAAGCCTGTTCGAAGGACGTTCCACTGCTCACGTGCAAACAGATATTACTGCAGAATTTCCTTTAGTTCTAAAGTGAAGCAATTAAAGAGATATAGTCAGCGTGACAATGAGATTAAAGTGACTCGGTAACATCCCTTACCGAAAATGCAGGCTTATTTAGCCTGCTTTGAACCTGCGTCTGGCCTGCATTCTTAAATACATGCTAATTATTCTTTTGCATGTTAAATTTTAGCCTGTATTTTGCAAAATCAGTCTTACATGTTTTAGCAGGTTAAATTTTAGCCTGCATTTTGCAAAATCAGTCTTACATGTTTTAGCAGGTTAAATTTTAGCCTGTTATTAGCATGCATTTTGCAAAACACAGTCTAACAGTTTTTAGCAGGCTAAATCTCAGCCTGCAGTTTAAAATTAGCATGCGTTTTGCAAAATACAGTTTTAGCAGGTTAAATCTTTAGCATGCCAGATGAGATGCAGTTTAATCTTTAGCATGTAAATTTCTATCATAATTTGTTAAACCTGCAATCTGAAGAAATGTCCTCTGAGCAGGTTTAGAACACAAATTTAACCTGTTATTGCTTTTTACATGTAGCCTGCAGGTTATTTTTCACATGCACGTTTAATGTTATATATCAGGGGTGATTTGAGAGTTTAAACAAAAATAGGTTCATAGAAAGCCGAGCAAGCGAGGTTTCGAGCGCTTGGGGAGGCATCCCAAGACAAAAATCCAATTGAAACCAATTGAACACCAATTTAATTTTCATTTTTTCAATTGGTATTTAATAGGACTTCAGTTGGTTTCAATTGGTCAAGTTTGGCCCTATTGGACCAATTGGCCTAGGCCCCATTAGACTTTAATGGGAACTCAATTAGTTTCAATTGGACCAATTGGCCCTATTTTGGACTTCAGTTGGTCCAATTCAGTTTAAATTTCAGTTTATTTTCATATTTCACATGTTTATTTTATTACATTTGGCATGTTACATTTTTTGTAATTTTTTTTTTGGGGGGATGCATTTATACAAACAAACAGAATAATACATAAGACTAAGTTAAATAAAGGAAGAAATATGATGGAGCCTAAAGAGAGAGCAATGCTTTTAGGTCGTAGTTATAACATTGATATAGTCTTGTGTTTATTAGATACATGTATCATAATTGGATTAAATTGCAACTTATATGAAGAAAAGATATATTTGAAACCAATTGAAAACCTTACAGTCTATGGGGCTGATTGGTCCAATTGAAGTCCCATTTAAGTCTTATTGGGGCCAATTGGTCCAATTGAAACCATTTGAAATATCTAATGGGGCCAATTGGTCCAATTGAAACCAATTGAAATCTCGATTAGAGTCAAATGGGGCCAATTAATTGGTCCAATTGAAACCAATAAGACCAATAGATCTACCAATAGGAACAATAGGACCAATATAAACCAATAAGACTAATTGAACCCAATGGGACCAATAGAAACCAATAGAAACCTTCATTTATGTTAGCCTGCCTTTTCGATTAGCATGCTAAAATTAACCTGCAATACGTATCTCATGAATATTCATTATTACTTTACACGTCTCACAGAAAAATACATTTATCATGATTAATTGTTAAGCAACTTATGACAATTAATGCACATATCAATTTTGTGATTGTATTTTTCTTTGGCAATTATTGACCAATAGATTATTTGTCTGATCACACTTACATTCATGTTTTAGCAATAGATATATTGATTATACGATTACTAACCAATTTAAATAGCATGTATATTTTCTATATATACGTGTATGAGCCTGTACTTTTTTAAAGTCAATCTTGAATTAACTTCAAATGATCTTTGTGATGGAGTTAGTCTAATGCAATTGAGATTAGAATATTCCTATTGGTGGACACTTGCAAATATTGATTATGATATATCACTTTATCCCCCGTTCCTCTATCCGAGTCGATATACCAATAGAAGTCTTGTACTGATAATGATGGCCATCAAATATCTTCAATTTTGTTAGCCTGCATTTTAGATTAGCATGCTAAAATTAACCTGCATAACTTACATATTTCAGCGTTTTTGCAGGCTAACAAAGCAGGTTAATTTTGCATACTAAAAAGCAGGGCAATTTTGCAGGCTAATTGAGCAGGTTAAAATGATTTTGCAGGCTGAAATAAGCCTGCTTTTAAAATGTACAGGCTAAATTAAGCCTGCCTAATTTGCATATTTCGGCGTTTTTGCAGGTCAGTGCTTGCTAAGGAATTAGCCTGCTTTTTAGCAGCTATGCAGGCTTGATGCAGGCTATAAGCAGGCCTGCCTTTTCGGTAAGGGATTGCCTCAGATTCTGAAACAAAATCCTGGATAAACTTATACTGCAATCACAATTATAAACCTTTAGGTCAGTCAGGAATCCCATGACTGTAACAAACCAATCGCCTTTCTGATTATCAAGATATATATGATTGCAAATCGAAACTTCATTTTTTTAAATTTTCCTAATGTTTTTTATAACACTACAGTCTCTTGGGGAAAACAAGTATGGTAAAACCGTCACTCGAAGATTTTTTAATTTTGAGGCACTTCATGATCATTTTGAAGCGCAATTTTTTTTAGGCTTCAATATTACACCATATCACAGACACTGATAACATGAAGAGCCATGCATCCCAGATTTAACATTGTTAAATGATGCCTTTAAGATGAAGCATTAATTGCTATTAATCCATTTTGCTTGATCACATTCATTTATATATATATATATATATATATATCTTTTTTTTCCCATTTGCTATGTTTTCTTTATATATATAAATATATGTCTTTGAAAGCTTTTTTTTAATATGATTGTATGTTTGATGTAAACTTTTAGTCTTTGGACTTTTTGACAAGTCATGAATAAAACCTCATTTGAATCTTGAATCTTGATCCTGCAGGAGCTGATTTACCACGAGTTCTTCAGCCAGGGAGACCTGGAGAAGGCCATGGGCCTGGAGACACCGGAGATGTTTGATCGAGAGAAGGCTTGTATTCCAGAGCTCCAGATTGGATTCCTGGACCACATAGCTCTACCTCTATACAGGTAAAAACACTCATACATTAACCTAGCATACATTAAAGCCCCACTGTACTACTTGTAGCTACTTGCGCCCTATATAGCAAACAATGCCTAAGCAGTACCCGTTGTTCCCCCATGATCCCCTTTTTCTTATGTTAATTGAGAGCTGATTTGTACTTATGTTTATTGAGAGCTGGTTTGATGCGATAACCACCAGCCAGTGCAGGGAGGTCTAAACCCTCCTGGCCAAAATAGTGCGGTGGGGCTTTAAGTCTCTATACAGGTGAAAACACTTTTACATGAACCTGGCATACATACAGTAACCATTCAACAATTTAGTAGTCTTTGGGTTAACGCGGGACTGCACTACTTGTAGCTACTTGTGCCCTCTATATAGCAAACAATGTCTAATCGGTGACCCTTGGTCCCCCATGATCCTCTTTTTCTTATGTTAATTGAGAGCTTATTTGATGAGATAACCACCTGTCAGTGATCACGCCGGGAGGTCTAATCCCTCCTGGCCAAACTAGTGCGGTAGGGCTTTAAGTCTCGAAACTGACAATGCAGAGTGGATTTGATAATCACCATTTAAATTTGCAAATTGACAATTTCTTTTTGATAAAGAATGTTTGTGTATGGGAGGAATAAATTTGGATTCCATTTTCAATCACCTTTGAGGTGAAGTTTTCATTCCAATTAAAAGCTTATGCTTTTTGTCCAGGAATAAAGTAGAGTCATTCTAGACAGTTTTTGAGTGTCAAGTAACACCGGGCTGGAATGCTCCCCAGGTAGTGGAGATTGTGCACACAGTGTATGCAGGCAAGTATTGAATCCAATGACCGGGGTAATAGTATATCTGTAAAGTGCTTAGAGACATTTGTATTAAGTGCTATATAAACGTGAATATTATTATTATTATAACCAACATTTCTTGTATTTCCTGCAGGGTACTGGGCCAGACGTTTCCCCAGACGAAAACCGTGGTGGATGCGGTGGAGACCAACAGGGTGATGTGGACGAAGCTGCGAGACGAGACCAAACAGAGACGGCTGAGCAGCACCAACTCACTGGACTTCTTCCACATCCAGTTCAAGAGCGAGCTCAACGGAGATAAGATGGCCGAGGAGGACGAAGACGACTGCGAGGAGGAGACAGAAGCCAAAGCGCTGGAAGAGACGGAAGGAGAAAAGATCGACCACAACGAAAATTGCAAGTGATGGCCGGTGATGGTCGCGTGATGTCTTGGACTCGTGGGAGGATAGAGACATCATAATTATCCATGTGATGAGTTATTGCTTTGATTCGATAAGCGTGGCAAGATAGAGAATTTGAGATACGGGCGGTTAAAGTAGAAACCTGCCATTGATGGATTGTAAGTAAGGAGTAAGCAAACTTTAAAGCAAGACGAAAGATGCAGTTCTACTATTCCTAGATCGTCATGACAACTGCACGATATATAGCAGGCTAAAAAAAGCAAATGACACAATTTAAAAATCTTTTTTTTTAGATGAAATGCAACAAGGAGAGAAGCAATTTGGACGCAGTGTACTTAGAGAATTCATCAATAAGAACAGAGAAGGATACCTGGCACAACGATAGATTAGATTGTAAAGGGAATGATTGTTATCGCCATGGTAACAATGGATATCAAACTGAATTGCTGAGGAGATCTAGATACACAATCTTCAACCAACTATACCCAATGTCTTCAGTATCTTAGATTGCATCTCTGCATTTGAAGAGCAGGGAATGGATCAAAGGTTCATCGATATAAAATTTGGATGCAGAAAGGGAAGGCAGCTGTGCCAAAGATGTATTCTTCACTACAGGACCCCGTTTCACAAAACTTGTCATCAGTGACAAATGACAGTCTTTGTTATAAGCTACTGAAATCCTTGCTTCTGATTGGTTATCAGCAGATTTGTCACTGATTTTTTTTTTTATTTGTAATCGAAAAAGGTTGTGTGAAGAAAAAAACCCAGGATAATCACTTCACTGGGTTCACCCCAATGCATTTGTTTGGGAGTGTTATTTTGGTAATACTCTGGTTTAAAACCATGGTGTATGAAGGTTGATGTGAATATTATATACAGTGTCATACAGTACATGTACAACAGTGAAGGAAGAGGGCAGGATGAGGGAGGGAGCGATGAGGGAGGGGCGATAGGGGAAGGAGGGGGGTGGGGGCTGGAGGATGTATGTTAGATATGTGTTGGACTTTGTTACCTCTCCTGTTCTAGAACAATCCAGTATTTTTGTGATTGTGGTTGCTTGCCGAGGTTCACCCACATTGCATCGATAGTGACTGAAGGATTCAAATTCTGAAATATCAATGTTGGATTTTATTTAATCTGAATGCTTGTATTATCACAAGGTGATTACAAAATAAAATTATACTATCATATCTTTATTTTTGACACTTTTACTTTTGCATAGCCTCCTAATATTTAAGCTTCCTTGCACAAATTGATTGTTCTTTCTTACCTTTTGATGGCAAAGGAAATATTTTGATGATTGATAGCTTAACTGCTGTTTGTGTCCATAGTTTTTTTTATAGTTTGTTAATTTTTACAGAAATATAGAGTGAAAAGGAAACTAACTTTAAAGCTTTTAAACAAAATGGCTGAATATACACATATGAATATCCCTGAATTTTGAAAGAGTACAAGATGAGATCTGTTAGTTCTTTGGTTTGTAGAAATAAAAATCTTCAGTGTCTGAATGACGTGAACAACCAGCACAATTCTTGCAGAAAATCCAAGAAGTAAAGGTTTAGAAGTAAGATTTAATATACGAAGAAAACTAAAATGAGATAAAAAATAATTAATTTTGTAACCTATCCAAAACATTGAAAATTATTCAAATGCTGCACCTTTACTGCACGTTGGGACGGATAAATATCATTTTAGAAATGATGTCATCCCTATTGTCCATGCATAGAGTTTTAACCCAGTACTGAAAATTGCCTCTGCTTTATTGCACACACTCAACCTAAGAAAGCAAAGATTTCTTTTTGGTTTGATAAATACTTTCCGTAGACTCTAGCCATTGTTATCTCAGGCTGACTGTTGAGAGTGGGAGGGTTAATCTAAAAATGGTTTATCTGCAAAATAAAATTGTATGAGATATATGATATATATATATTTATTATGACATCCAAAACCTTGGCAAAGACATAGCTATAAATCGGTAGAAAATACACCCGAAATTTGCATGTGCAGCAGAATGTTGTGGAGAAACATGAGGTGAAGTAAATAGTGTGTGATATATTTATAGCTGTATATTACAAATTGAACTTCATTCAAAGCATCCTTTCCCCAATGGCATCTTGTTTCACGGTGAAGCATCAAACCATTTTCGCGCTTCGTCTACTGAAATAAAGGGTTAGTGACTTTTGGAGTAGACCTGCCTTTAAAAGGTTCCCTTATGGTACCAATAGAAGAATAAGTGTGTAAGTGTTTTTTTGTTTTTGTTCAAAGTTCAGATGGAACTGATCAAACGCACATTGTAAAGCTGTAAATATTTATTCCTTGATAATTTCCAGGGCATATAGGGGGAGGGAGAAGATCGAGGAACCATATTTATGCAAACAAGGTCCCACACTACGTATTAGAATGTAATATGTATGCAAACAGAAGTTATTTTCACATAAATCCGCTATATTTCAGGCATTTTACTGCATTTTCTTGGCTGCTTTACCCATGTATAATTGTATATACAAACCATTTTATGTGTACAGACATATATATGTATACATATTTATAATACTTGTAGCAGCTTATAACAGGCTATATGTGTATATTATGTATTGTTGTAGAGTATTTGTATATTACGTTTGACCAGATTGTACTATCCTCGTATCCATGGTGATATTTTTTTTCCTCCTCAGGGTGATTCTTGTGTGCAATTTTTTTTGTTCTCAAGATTTGACTAATATCCATCTGCTTTGAGAAATTTCTTTTCATTTTCTTCTCGTTTTTCGTCATGACGGTCACAAGGTTTCCCTAAGGACTGGATATTGGAGTATTCTGTGTGCACCAATTTAAGTATGAGTGAACGCATATTGTCATAATAAATGCTTGAATGTAATGATCCAGTGTAATGAACCTCAATACCACTACCGTTCAGGTCTCACCGCGCGGTTCTTCACACGGCCCGGGTTCTGTCTGGTTTGAAAGCAGTTTACGCGTTCAGATTTGCTGCAACGCTGTAGGTCGTTTCATCAAGGCGCATTCAGATAGGAGAAGTATACCGTGATGAGCGCAACCATGTCCTACACGTATTCACCAAACTCACGCGTTATGAGATACGGCAATGCAAAGCATATTACCTGTAAATTTACGTCAGAAGACAATCTCTGCCACAGTTTACCAATTCATATGTAAACGAGGCTTTAGGAATGATAGTTCTACCAGTATTAGCTTTTTTTATTTTAAAAAGCACTGGTTGTGTTTTAGACTGAAAATATTTAATCTGTGCTTCAAAACTTTAGTGGTTTTATTCTCAGGCAGTTTGAAAATTCTGATAAAACATCACTTACTATGTACTTGGCTTTTTATTTCTATCACCCAAAAAAATGTTTAAATAAGATTTTATTTATAGAAACAAATGTGAAGATATATTATAAATTTATATACCACAAATGTCATGAGGTAATTTTTATACATATATGGTAATATAGCTATACCGTTAAAAAAATGCACAAATGCAAGTATACTAGAGTATAAATGATAAATTTCTCTTGTTAATGTATTCATGAAAATATTGAGGAAGAATGAGAAATCTGTTTTTGAAACCTGATTTGTGTTTTCGCTCCAGGTCGTTTGTGTGATTGTTATCCTGTGGTAATATGTATATATTTGAATTGTTTATCAGATTTTTTGCAGAGGTTTAAAATTTGTTGATAGTTTATATTTATGGAATGATTTCAATTATTTATATTATGTGAAGAAATATAGAAATACATGCTTTTCTTTCTGATGGTATTAGTCCAAAATGAATTGATGAAGCATACTTTTTTTTTTGGTTGGTGTACACGACCAGATATACTTGATGCGTACTTACTACTCCTCCGCGACATGTTCAATAGTCGTCATAATTGGATTACAGTTCCCTGCGATGAGCCGGTTTGGGCAAACTAAATTTATGGAATTATGCAATGAATCCAGTGTGTTTAGCCCTATTAAACAAAAACACTGCAGGACAGTAGTTATGCTCGAATCCAAGCGTTACGGAATGACATTTTAAAAGAATTATGATTTTATCAATTTTAAAACAATGAATATTGTAGGCAGATTAATTGGAAATCTACGAACAAATGACTTGATGTATAAACTACTATGAGGTACTTCCATCACAGTTGAGTTTCTAGTAAACTATTCATCAATTGATAGAATATTAAAATTTAAATAGCTTTGTTACGGAATGACCTAAAAAGTTACCTTCCAAGTCTTTCCGTAGCTATTAACCGTTATTAAACACAATATTTTATAAACTTAATGATTGGTTGAAAGGAAACACAAATGTCTTAAAATTACCTCACATTAGTTAATATACAGTGTATCACATCATTCATTTGTATATTTCTTTAAATCAAAATGTCTATTACATTCTTTTCATTTAACAAAGAGGAAATTCTCTGGAAATGTCATTCTGTATCGCATGGAATTGACCCAATTATCAATTGTATTTGTAATTAGCTCAATTATGATTATATACTTTTCTAATATGTTGTAAATTGCACCTGCACTGCTAAATACTCTGTAGTCTTTCCGTTCAACTGAAATTTGAGTTTATGCATTTTTACCTTTCTGTTCTCAAGTCTTCTGATGATGACTGTAACGGTTTTATGACATAGTATTATTTTATTAGACAGTATATTTACATTTATCTTGATTTTTTTTAGTCATGTATAAAAATATGCAGCACATATTTTGCAGTGGTTAGAATTTAATATATGATAGGAAGACAAATCGGAAGTCCTATCGTCTGTTTGGAGCCAGGAGGTCGTTAACGCGTATCATTTTACGCAGAGTTGAAGTCCTACCAGCTCTAAACAGACATGTGGATGTTTTTTGTTGTTTCTGTTCTTAAAATGTGAAATCCCAAACTCGCTCCCAGAAAGGAGGGAAGTTAGCACAAAACTCTCTGGGCATTATTACCAAATAACTGTATCCTTTCAAATGTGCTCAACCAACATAAGAAAGTTGGTTGCAAAGTTAACTGAAGTGTGCTACCCTACCCAAAAGTGTTCATAACTGTCATCCCCTGTCGTATGAAGATGATGTTGTCTACTTAAAGAAGTGTACAGATTGCTTTGGGGGGTTCATTGAAACAAAGTGTACATGGAAATTGTAATCAACTTCTGTGAGGGCTATGATATACAGTAACAAATATTCTGTAAAGGATAGTTGAACAAGAGCCAGGGAGTGTTCATACTCTTTAGCATTGTAATTCACTCTAGCACAGGTAGAGATGTCAGGTTTGAACAGGCTGATGTTACATGTGTGTTGACTAGCTGTGTATGATTTTTGTTTCAGGACGATTGTAATACATGTTTGCGATTAATTTAGGGGCTTGTTTATGAACAGTAATTCTTAAGGGTATGAAATTCAGCGTTAACTGCATGAAATGAAAGTGGAATATTGCATATTTCACAGGTTAAGATTGACTTCACATTTCAAATTTCGAAAAAAATGAACTGAATATATTAAGTAGGGTTGTGAGCAATCACAAACAGGACATTTGTCAACAAAGGATAGTTTTGACATGTATAGCTCAAGGATATACATCTACAATGTTAAATGTGCGTTTGTAATGAACTCGTTTTGACCCATGAACCATTGAAATAATCCCCCAAACCTGGAATTATCAACAGATAATCCCCCCAAAAACGTCTTAAATTGTACAAAGATCACTGCTTATTTTATTGTTTGTACATATGAGAGAAAAAAAGATGAACTAACACTGTACATAGAAGATGTACAGAGTTTGCAGTTTTGAGTAATCTAGAGCAGAATTTAACCTTTAGAACTAATCCTATTACGTCACCTTGGGGAACATTACAAGAAAAAGAGATATATTATATACACTTATGTACTTCACGAGCAAGATGATATATGGAATGTATGACGACATGATATATTTCTATTTGGGTGTGTTCTACAGGGAAAGACTATCATTACAAGGAAATGATGTAATATATTACGACGTTTGTGTATGTTCATGTTCTGGTAGAAGCATTTGGTTTAAATTAGCTTATTCTGGCAGGCAATAAAGAAACTTGTTTGAATATGATTCTTGTTGCATTGGAAAATTAATTTATTAAGTTTTGGGAGTGAGGAAGAGAGACAAGAGGGAGAAGAGGAGAGAGAGAGAGAGAGAAGGGGAGAGGGGGAGGAGAGAGAGAGAGATAAAGAGAAGGGGAGAGGGGGAGGAGAGAGAGAGAGAGAAAGAGAAGGGGAGAGGGGGAGGAGAGAGAGAGAGAGAAAGAGAAGGGGAGAGGGGGAGGAGAGAGAGAGAAAGAGAAGGGGAGAGGGGGAGGAGAGAGAGAGAGAGAGAGAGAGAGAGAGAGAGATGGGGAGGAAAGAGAAAGGGGGAGAAGCATAAAATCTTGATTCAATTAGTGCATGGTTTAAATTAGCTTATTCTGGCAGGCAATAAAGAAACTTGTTTGAATATGATTCTTGTTGCATTGGAAAATTAATTTATTAAGTTTTGGGAGTGAGGAAGAGAGACAAGAGGGAGAAGAGGAGAGAGAGAAAGAGAAGGGGAGAGGGGGAGGAGAGAGAGAGAGATAAAGAGAAGGGGAGAGGGGGAGGAGAGAGAGAGAGAGAAAGAGAAGGGGAGAGGGGAAGGAGAGAGAGAAAGAGAAGGGGAGAGGGGGAGGAGAGAGAGAGAGAGAGAGAGAGAGAGAGAGATGGGGAGGAAAGAGAAAGGGGGGAGAAGCATAAAATCTTGATTCAATTAGTGCATGGTTTAAATTAGCTTATTCTGGCAGGCAATAAAGAACCTTGTTGGAATATGATTGTTGTTGCATTGGAATAAATTTCTGAAGTGTTGAGAGTGAGAAAGAGAGAATGAGAGAGGAGGGGAAGGGAGAGGAGAAGCATTTCGTTTAAATTAGCTTATTCTTGTTTCTCAAGTTATAAGAATGAGGAAGAGAGAGAGGAGGGGGGAGGGGAGAGAAAGTGAGAGAGAAAGAAGGGGTGGGGGCCTTAAGTAGATGAATGGTGTTCAGTCCAAATATTCTTGGTCATGGGTTGGGTTGTAGTAATGGGAAATTAGCTTATTCTGGCAATGAAGGAACTTGTTTGATATGATTCTGATTGCATTTGAATGAATTTCTGAAGTTTCGAGAGTGAGAAAGAGAGGAGGGAGAGAGGGAGAGAGAGGGGGGGAGAGGAAAGAGAGAGGGAGGGGAGGGAAAAGGAGAGGGGGGAGGAAAGATGGAGGGAGAGGAAAGAGAGTAAATGAGAGAAGTGGAGGGGACCTTAATAAATGATGTTCAGTCCATTAATGAGAAACGAAAAGTACTACATTTAAATTTAATTTAAACTTTGTTAAAGCTGAATAATCATATAATCTTGATTTCAATAACTGTATGAACAGGGAAAAGGCTACGAAATAAAATCTGACTGGCTTCATGATCTAATATGATGGAAGATATTACTGTAATCATGAGAATAAAATTTGCAAGACAAAAAAAAAGAATCTGACATAACACAGAAAACAATAAGTTTCACAAAGAAATCATTTTATATTTATTTGCCTCGAAATTTTCTTTGAAGTATTCACAAATGAATCAATAGGGTACACGTTATAGGAAAAGTATTGATTTTTTTGAATTTTTAGACAAAAAGTACAGAAGTCAAAATTGTTATCATTTTTTTTATTTTTTTTAGAGACGCATATTGATAATGTAAAGAGAACATTTGGAATGAACATTACTACAAAATTAGAAGGACATAAGTTTTTTTTTAAATCACATGAATTACTTAACTCAGCTCCTGTCCATCAGCATACATTTTGAAACTATTAATGAGTTCAATCTAAATTTTAGATGACCGATAATGTTGACATCAATAGAAAAAAAATAGAAAATTACTTTCATGATATACAATTTTAAATTGATAACAAAATCAAATTATGAAGTGAAGAGGCCATGTTTCTCATGCCTCCATCACGAAATTCAATGACAAACAGAGATCGAATCGTTTACAGGAAAAACAATAATTACATACTGGTGTATATTTTGAATATCAACAGGTATTAACTTCAGTTAGAAGCAGTGACCAATTTACACATAAAAGAAAAACCATTTCAAATTGCTACGCACAGTACAGAGTTCATACAACACCAGAAAAGAATATGAATATTCCTTCTATAGCTCTGGATGCTAAACAAACAAGACCATTCTTTAATTTGTTTATTTAAGATTTAGTAAACATCATGAACATGCAATACAGGATCGAGCCCTCCACTATTGGCAGCCTTAATTTGATGAAAGCCGACAATAAAGGAATTTAGTTAGAGAGACGATACATAAAATGGATAAATGATAGCAGCGAACATCCAAGAATAACTCACAAAGGGGTATATAAAATTCATAATTCCGGGACATATCATTTGCTACTGTTTCAAACAAAACATACCAGCACATGCAATACATTTGATGTTATCATTATTACCCTATGATATTGTACAAGACAGCGATACAAAATTATAACTTCAGCTAGAAATACGAAATCCCTAATCTACATTAGATAGTTCTAGTTTCTATAGCCACTAAAAGGAGCCATATAAATTTTGTTGACTATTCGTGGTTTCACATTGTGTAAATTGTGCTAAATGCTTGGTGCCAAGATAAGAGCTATTTACAATTGCCAAAGCACACATATTTCATTGACCTTTTAAAGGATTTAAGTGCTCTGTGGGTGTGTGTGAGATGGGTTTATATAAACATTAAAAATATATATATATTTTTGGACATCCAGTGTAATTTGATACCTCTAACTAAATGATCAACTTACATGTACACCTGAGACCCGAGTAATAAAATTTTCAATTATTGGTAGGAAAACTAAACAGAAGGATTGGAGTCTTTCCGATATTCCTAAAACTGATTTGCGATCCTTTTCTATGAGCCATGTAGAAGATAGATTTTTTAAGTGGTCAGCTTTTGACACACTTTTCCTTGTAGATTCATTTCCATTTAATATAAGAAATAGTGAGTTTACTTTTTCTCTTCACAGATCCCTGTGCGGCATATTAAACTCTTAGTGTATAAAGTTGATTACCATACATAATGATAGGACTCATTTCTAAATAGCTTTTGCATCGCCTATGAAAAACAGATCGCTTCCCTGGCTTTAGCTCTTTAGATTATGTCATATTATTTGAATGTTATTTTAGGCATTAAAAAAAGATGTTGTATTGCCTTTAAGGTGCCAAATCATGGGTTGGTCGATCAGAAATCTTTTCTTTTTTTCCCTTTTTTTTTTTTCTCCCTTTTTTTTCTTTCTCCCTCTTTGGGCAGATATTTCCAGGTTTTGAATGCTTTGATATTTTTTTTCTCTAAAAAACAGTAAACAAAAAAAATTGGGGGTTGGTCGCAAAGGGCAATGCAACATCTTTTTTTAAAGGCCTTATGGATTGGTACCTCTTACAACATAGTCTTCATCCAGAGAACAGAGACTTAATATCTACATGCATGAAGTGGATACGTAACGTCATCTTAGATGCATTTGGAATCAATGTGACAGTAGGAACATACATTGTAGCAACGGCTCAATCAATGTCTTGAGTGCTTGCTCCAGGAGCCGAGGGTTCTCCAGAGGCTGGTGGGGGTGGTGATGGAGGTCCTCCGGGTGGTCCTCCAGCCCCGCCCGGTGGTCCGGCTCCGCCCGCTCCTCTGGGGACCTTGGACTGCATCTTGGCGATGAGGTCAGTGATCTTCTTGTTGTTCTGGTACTTGGCGATGTTGGCGGGGTTGGAGCTGATGTCAGCAAAGGCTTCTTGGACTTGAGGATCCTGAGTTGGTCAGGGATGGACAAAATTTACAAGGTCAGGGAGGTGTTTCACAAAGATTTGAAGTCGAACTTAACTCTAAGTTGGACTTAAAGACCGTCAACACTACCGGGCCAGAAGGGATTAGACCACACAGCGAGGTCACTGACAGGTGGCTATCTCATTAACTCAGCTCTCAACTAACATAATAAAAAGAGGATCATGGGGGACCAACAGGCACCGATTGGGGAAGTTTTCTATACAGAGGGAGCAGGTAGCTACAAGTAGGACAGTGGGGCTTTAAATCTCATCGAGAGCCATTTGTAGCCTTATAATGAAATATATTAAAAGGCAACAATTCAAGTATTTTAGACTTTGCATAAATTCCACATCAAGAACATGAAATCTCCCATGATAATAGAAAATATGAATGATTTGAATCAACATTGCATGCCTTTTAAAATAACTTTTACAAAATGTTTTGAAGGATGCTAATGGCTTTCCATATCTGTTAAGTCCAACTTAGAGATAAGTTCAGCTTAGGATCTTTGTGAAACATCCACCTGGTGACAACATTATTGTTAATTTCCACTAAAAAGACCCATAGACATGGGTTCTCATACTTTGAACACCATTTGGGTGTTTACCCAATAACAGGCGTTTTCAATCACCCAGAGTACATTTCATTGTTATCACCAAGAGGTGTCATGTAAGGCCCTGTTCCCTCAACCAATCCCCGCCCCCCCCCCCCCCCCCCCCCCCTCCAAGGAAATCTCAACATTGCAAATTCCCATCACCCTCAAGGTTTGAAGGCAAGCCAACGTTATTTTCTGATCGACCACAATTTAGCTAGCTGGGAGACCTTTACACACATTAATCTGTGATTGACCTAAATTTGGTCCCAGCAAAATATGACATAATTAGTGATCTACATTCACCACATCTTATGGCTGTCCTACTTGTAGCTACTTGCTCCCTCTATATAGAAAACTACCCCAATCGGTGCCTGTTGGTCCCCCATGATCCTCTATTTCTTATGTTATTTGAGAGCTGAGTTGATGAGATAGCCACCTGTCAGTGACCTCGCTGTGTGGTCTAATCCCTCCTAGCCACACTAGTGTTGATAAGCTTTAAAGTTAACATTTTCAAGCAACGGAAAATGACTCATTTGAAAATATTGTTTGCCTGCAATCAGATAAGCATCTTATTTGGTTTCGTTGATGATTTTTCTTTTCTTGTATTCCATTATTGTCCAGTTATTCTAGTGTTCCACTTGAACCAGTCAGAAGATATCTTCCTGATCCATCAAGTTTTCATTTATAAAGAATGGATTTTAGAAGAGGGAATAGCAACACTGATATATTTCTATCACTGCTACACTATCAAAAAGTCAAATTATCTATCTCAAATATTATCAAAACTATTTTAAAATACAATAATTTAATCAAAAACAAGGATTTAGAATTTGTTGACATTTGCTCATGAATGAGATATATTTTTGAGGATGACGACTTTAAATGTTGTTGTGCCAAACCATGCATCCTAGAATACAGCACATGAAAAAAGAAAAAAAATGTGTAATAAAAGAAATTTGAGCAGTTGACAAAAGACTCACCTGGAAAGCCGAAAGGATCTCTGGATCAGACATGATGCCGCTGATGTCAGGCATTCCACCGGGCATGCCGCCTGGCATACCGCCCATGCCACCAGGCATGCCACCCATGCCGCCAGGCATACCACCAGGCATACCGCCCATACCACCAGGCATGCCGCCGCCCATTCCCCCTGGCATACCACCAGGCATGCCGCCGCCGCCCATACCTCCGGGCATACCTCCGGGGAATCCCCCAGGCATGCCACCGCCGCCCATTCCACCGGGGAATCCCCCAGGGAAGCCGCCTGGCATGCCTCCTGGGAATCCTCCAGGGAACCCGCCAGGGAATCCGCCAGGGAATCCTTCTTCTGCCTCACGCTTCCTTCTCTCTTCTTCTTCCTGGAATGACCAAAGAAAACATCACAAAAAATATTGTGAAGAATTAGGTACAAGGTGTTCAGGGGGGTGTTTCACAAAGATCTTAAGTTGAACTTATCTCTAATTTGGACTTATGGAAAGCCATTAGCATCTATGAAAGTATTTTGCAAAAGTTAATTTAAAAGGCATAAAATGTTGATTCAAATCATTCATATTTTCTATTATCAAGGAGATTTCATGTTCTGATGTGGAATTCATAAAAAGTCTAAAATACTTGATTTTTAAGTCCAGCTTAGAGTTAAGTTCGACTTAGAATCTTTGTGAAACACTCCCCAGAGGTGCACCCATGTTTAGTCAATCTTTATCAAAGAGTTTGATTCCCATGCACTCAAGTTAAAATTAAATATGCTCTACTATTTTCTTATAGTTGAGTACATCAGTAATACAACCCCCATCCCCCTAAAGTCTTTAATATAAAGGCAAAGATCAGTTATTTTCTTATTTTTTGTGACTAAGGAATTTGTCAGACAAGCTTGCCCTGCAGTACAAGTTTGACATTTTTACAAGCATTTGAGAAGGACACTTATATTGAAAGTATATTTATTAGCTTTTACAAACATTTGAATAGCCCAAATAACCTTCACACTAGTACCAATGCAAATCAATAAGGAGAGCTATGATGTATTTGTCCTACCTTGCGTGCTTTCTCTGCTGCTAGTTTAGCCTTCCTGATCCTCTCCTTCTTCTCATTTAATTCTCGTTCCTGATGTTTCCTCTCATACTTCCTCTTGTGCTCTACAATCTTCTTGGCCTGCAATGAGAATATAATCATCATAAGAACTTTAGAGGAATCTGCAAGCAAACACCAATCTGACAGAAATTCAAAAAAATTATAGGTTGCTCAAATATTCAGTGCCTTTCTAACTACAGTCAAACCTGCTTTAGTGATCACCTGTCTACAAAGACCACCTCTCTACAAAGACCACCTCTTTTGTTTCCCTTAAAAATGGTTTCTCTTTGAAACATGTACTAAAGGAACCTGTCTACAAAGACCAATCTGCTATGGTGACCACCTGTCTACAAAGACCACATTTTTTGTTTCCCTTGAAAATTGAAATTTCTCAGTGAAAAATGTACTAAAGGAACCTGTCTACTAAGACCACTTTTTGTGATTCCCTCGGGTGGTTGCTATAGACAGGTTTGACTGTAAATGTATTTCTGTAGGATTATTTCTAATGACAATGGAAAATGGCAGAAAAAACAACAGAATTCATTAGGAAAACTGGACGATGTCTAGTAGATCATTAGACTTGTGTGCTGTTGATCTAGGTAACCCTCTGGGAGTGACAAGAAGGCCAATTTTATTTTCTCTGGCTTTTGGTTTGGTCACTCTTGTGAATCCTCAAAAGAGTTTTACAGAAGGGCAAAGAGACTGAAGTTATAAATGTACATTAAGATCTCGTAGGTCGATCTCAGAGACTCTTAAAACATTGACAGAAGGCCAAAGAGACTGAAGTTATACATGTACATTAAGATCTCGTAGGTCGATCTCAGAGACTCTTAAAACATTGACAGAAGGCCATGATATCAACATCAACAAGTCTCATGGGTTGACATCTTGAGGATCATTCATTTTGTAGGCTGTAACCTTTTGGGATTATGGCAATGACAAGAAGTACACAACGATTAAAGGGATTGAGTAACCTTGTCTCAGATTCTGAAACAAAATCCTGGATTTAGCTCAGGCTGCAATCGTAATCGTAAACCTTTAGTGTCAGTCAGGAATCCCATGACTTTTACAAGGTGATCGCCTATATGATTATCTAGATATTTATGATTGGAAATCAAAACCAAATTTTGCATTTTTCAAACGGTTTTCATAACACTACAGTCTATTTGGAAAAACAAGTATGGTAAAACAGGTCACTCAAAGATTTTCAATTTTTTGAGGCACTTCTTGATCATTTTGAAGTGCAATTTTTTTTCAAGGCTTCAATTTCACACCATATCAATGACACTGATAACACGTAAGGCCATGCATCTCAGATTTAACATTGTTAAACGATGCCTTTAAAGGTAAAGATCAGTTTTGGAAAATGCCCCCCCCCCCCCCCTCTCAAAAAATGAAATGGAAGCTCTTATTACCAATTATGTGAAAGAATATGTTTTGACTAATACGTGATACAAATTTTGCAGAGAAATCGCCTACTAATTGATATATTTGGTAAATTATTATATCTATTTGGACCAGATAGATATCGCACATGTGTGGCGTAGTCCCATATACATCTTTCTGTGTTCAGTGCTTGCAACTTTGCCAAGACTGGGCCAAATTTCTTATCATTTTGATGATTCCAAAACCTTGTAGTACACAATGAGCGAGGCGGGAAGATTCGCCGGCAATTCGCTCGAAGATGTCGTTGACGAAGCTAGATGATCAACCTTTTCTGATCGATTCCACAACCTTTATTTCACAATGCAATCGCATGACCATAACTGGTCTTTATCTTTAAGAACCATATCTCCCGAGTCTCCACACACACTCACCCTGGGCTCCACCTCCTTGAGCATCTCGTAGGCCGATTCATCGTAGTCCAGCTTGCAGGCCATCTGAAGATCCCGGAAGGCCTCTTCCCAGTGCCCCAGCAGCCTGTGAGCTTTACCCCTCCACTTGTAGACCTGGGCGGAGTCTGGGTTGAGGTCAATTCCCTTGTCACAGTCACGGATCGCTGCGTTGGGCTTGTTGAGACGAACAAAGCAGCTGTGGGCAGAAGCATGCACAAGAAAGAAAGGTAAGTCTTTAAAGCGGGACTGCACTACCGTATTTGCCGGCGATAAGGCCGCACCCCCGATTTTGACATTTAAAAAAAAACTTTTGTCGAAGACGGCATTCGATCTCTTGCGTACAAATGTTGATGTGACTAAAATCACCGCCTTAGACCGCTCGGCCATCTCGCACTGATGCCATACCCTGCAGTTTTCTTTAATGTATACATTGAAATGGATTGAAAATGGCGACTTCGCGTGCTGGATGCTTCGCAGCTACATTAAACGGGCCCTTCTTTTTACTCTTGCAATGCATTGGCACGAACTTAGATCAAGATCTATCGGCAGATGTTGTTTTTGGAAGTTTATTTTCGTCTTCATGTCAACAATGCAAGATAAAATTGTCCGTAAGATGTGTGGAAATGTCCTGTACTATAGTGCATACATGCCAACATTTGAAAATCAGAAATCTGTACACCATGTGCGCGAAGCGCACATCACGAGCGCGAAGCGCGAAGTCTTTTTAGCCGGGGTCCCAGATGCTCTCTGGTGCAATCTGAGCCTATTTTAGGGACCATTTCCCCTAAAATTCAACCCAAGTTTATGGGTAATTTTTGTGTCATACCAAACAAAAAAGTGATTGAAGTGAATTCCACATTTTAATTTATCCTTGGCAGAGGCAGAGCAGATAATAGACATAGATTTAATTAGCCACTCATGCAGAGTGATGCATTTAAGTCTAGTTACTTTTTAAATAATTATACATGACATAGATCTATGCATAAAATGAGACTGGCAATAATGGTATTCAACTTTCCAGACAACAGTCAACAATCCAAAATTATTGTAACTCATTGAGCTACATGTAAATGAGGTTGTCAAAATCAATGTCAGCAGAACAAGACATCTTGCCGACAATAAATGCAGTATGCATATTCCTCCCCTTTTGTGCTTGCTCTAATAAAGGGAAATCGTTCCTTGTATTCCTGTTTGTACTTCTGAATTCGTCTTGCTGCTGTTCCGCTCATTTTGACAGATTTTCTTCCGAGACAAATCACAAATCACAAAGTATATGGTACCTCGAAACATATACTTTGCATGGGGACCCTATGAATATACGGTGCGCTAGCCGCGATAGCGAATGCATGCATGCTGATATGCGCATGCAAACGTATAGAAATTATACTTACGAGATTTGCCAGCGCAAGTATTTACGTACGGAAATGTTACGTACGGAAACACATATCAGAGTGCACGTGGCGCGCAGCAACACGCTGCCACTGTACGTACATATCAGTGCACGCTGCACGCACCTTGCGCAATGCAATCCGTTCAGCACTCGATCGGATCAATGCTATGTATGGAAAGCCAAATTCCCCAAAATCGGAACGTTCCGTTTTTTAGGGCTATAAAAACTTCAAAAACGGAACAGTTCCGTTAAAATCGGAACGGTTGGCATGTATGATAGTGGTATAGTTATTGTACCGTTCGTAGTCCCATATGTGCAAATTCGTGCTGGTTTTGACTTTTTAAAAAAATTGTCCGTAAGATGTGTGGAAATGTCCTGTACTATAGTGGTATAGTTATTGTACCGTTCGTAGTCCCATATGTGCAAATTTGTGCTGGTTTTGACTTTTTAAAACATTTTTTTTTACTCTTTCGCCGTAAAGGCCGCACCCCGACTTTTTGATATTTTCTCTTCCAAAAATACTGCGGCCTTTACGCCGGCAAATACGGTACTTGTAGCTACTTGCGCCCTCTATATAGCAAACAGTGCCTAATCGATGACCGCTGGTCCCCCATGATCCTCTTTTTCATATGTTAATTGAGAGCTGAGTTAAAGAATTAGCCGCCTGACATTGACCACGCTGGGTGGTCTAATCTCCCATGGCCAAACTAGTACAGACAGACTTTAAAGGAAGTACTGAATCAACAAGTAAAGGTCTGAGTTATTGCCAGTACCAGAGTTATGATCCATACAGATGTTCCAAAATCCTTTACCCTTATGACGCTACTTCATTTGCTAAAGAAGATCCTTTTTATCCCCAAATGAAAATAATAACGACAGATGTGATTGCCTCTCCTAGGCATCCGTCCTAGATTCTGTTCAGGAAACGGATGGAATTATTCTTGAAAAATCACAATGAAAACAAAAAGCCTATAATTACAGGTCAATTAACGACTATGATCTTTGGCCTACGTACTCCAAAACTTAATCAGATCATCATCCTAGATGGTGATATATGATGTCTCCAAGTATTTCATGAGATTTCACGATATGTATCTACGGTATGAATCTGGTGATCCTACGTCAAAGATATAGAAATTTATTGCGCAAACAGCATAATCGTTGATGACGCCGACGCCGGAAAGAGCAACGGCTACGCCTCGCTCCGCTACGCAGGCAAAGTGGATTCTTCTTACCTAGCTCTCTTTGCATGAAGCAGGGCAGAATGTGGGTTGATCTCAATGGCTTCTGTGAAGATCTTGATGGCTTCTTCAATGTTACCCTCTGACACGGCCGCCATGGCTTCCGATCGCTTGCTGTTGGCTTCGTCCTGCATCTCATCTGTAACCTCCTTGCTCGTGTCTCCCATGGGTTGAGGCTCGTCTGTGTCTGGTTCAATCACGCCCTCATTGTCAAGTTCTGTGAATTCACAAGTAATACCATAATAGCATAGTTAGTGCTCTCTTGATAGACCGGCTCCAAAGCTAACCGATCCCTGGCCATTTGTGGTAATGTAATTTTTGTATATATATTTTATTTTTTTTTTTTGGGGGGGGGGGAGGTCTCTACGAATATATCTTCTCTCTTTCTCAACCCATTTGATAGTCAAACAAAACATGTAAAAGTATACAGCCCATCAGAGACACAGAAGCTGCAGAGCAATTTGGAAAACGAGGAGGGGGGGGGGGGGGTTGGTTGAGGATGCGAATGAGTACATCATTTTACTACAATGCCATGGTATTCTACATGTTTCTTCCAAAAGAAGGAGGAGGCTGCAAAATGCAGGCTTCTTACTTAAGTTTTACCTTAAATTTCTGGAGGAAAGTGAGAGAGACAAAAATAATAATCAATGCAAATTGTTAGTTTTTTTCATAAGAATTAGTTTTGGCTCAAATTTATCAATACAATGTTTTGTTTTCATGCAGTTTGAAATAAATTTATACATGAATAAACCATTTACATGTAGATATTAACAAATGGCAGGTGTTTGTCATAATGCAATCTTTGAAATCATCACTGGACAATAGCAATACCAATAACAACAGTAATAGATGCATTCATACTTGCGCCCTCTATAAATACAGCCAACAAGGTACCTGTTGATCCCCCCAGACGCCCTTATTCTAATGTTAATTGAGAGCTGATTTGATGAGATAACCACCTGCCAGTGACCTTGCAGGGAGGTTTAATGCCTCCTGGCCAAACTAGGGCAGATAGGCTTTAAAACAAATTACAGGATCACATTATTACCCCAAGTTTTAGCTGAGCCACCATTATAAGGCACTCGAGGATTTGAGGAATTTCTTTCTGACGGGTGCCCTTCCACCACACCTGGGTGGAGAGTGGCAAATGAAACAAAAGCCTTGACCTACCCAGATCACTCTCTTCACTCTCTGGATCCATAGGTTCTTCTGGTTCTGGTTCTGCTTCTGGTTCTGGTGCTAGAGGAGCCTGCGCAGAAGGCTCTGATGAGGCTGCTCCTGATGATGTGCTTGGCGTTTCCTTAGGCCCTGGGATCTTGGCATCAAGACTTTAATGCAGAGGGGAAAAAAACAATCAATATTTACAAGGCTTATTATTGTTGCAATCAAGGAATGCTGCTCGGTCATTTTACCATTAAAAAAGATAATGGGGGAAAAGGGTTCCCCTGCTTCCCCCCCCCCCCCCCCCCTCCTAAATATCAGCCATTTGTTTGCATCATGAGATTCTTACTGCACCATGGCCATTGCGGTTGGGTGTCCAGACATTTCAGATGATTTTCATGAGTTTACAATCACACCAAAAGCCAGCTCTCTTTCATTTATAATGAGACTTGCATTTGGCGTATGCCGCTTCAGTTGGGATAGTTTCACCCTCACTTCTCGTTGGAAATGTACTGTTTCTGCAGGGTTTTTTCGAATTAGACAGTGTTAGACTAGACTACTCAAGCTCAGTGTTACTCAATCAGAACATAGACTAGAGTCTAATTGCTCACAGTGAAATCAAATAGATCGAGAACATGACAAAATTCTCTCTTTTTTATTCTAATTTTACTACTGTAGTAATGTGAGATTTGTTGCCTCCTGTGGCTGGACCTGGGTTTGGTGCAGGCTATCGTTCAGTGTGCACTCAGGCCTCTCTTGCAATGGCTTGAGTGCACGCTGGACGATGACCTGGGCTTGGGTTCGGTTGCAGGAGGTGACAGCTTTCACATGACTGGAGAAGACATTACTGCAGAGAAGTCACAAGTGGTGCACGTGCATAGTGGGCAATTGAGTTACATGTGAGTTAATCATTCGATTATCCTTATAAATGTTACATTTATTTATTGTTATATATGTACATGTATCCTACTTATATGCTTGTTGAACAATTATTGATGTTCCTATAGATATTGGCAGAATTTGAGTGTGTAATGGGTTTTTGCAATGCGATCCTTTTTTTTATAGTATTTGAGTGGCGTATGTAGTACATGTACACGAAGTGAAATCCTAAGTCTCACTTGTTAATTTTATTGGTGGTACGATGGTTTACGATTTTATACAGATTAATGGTCTATTATGTATGTATTCATACCTTTGAATTTTGCTGTATGTTAATTGTAATATATTACGTTTTATCCCTCATAGGACCACAAAGACTGTATTGTAGGGGCGTACGTTGAAGTCAAGCTTTTTTTATATAGTGTGGGCGGTGAGTCTTATTGTTTTTTAATTTTTATTAAAAAAGATATTGTTTGCATTATGTATTGAATGAATCTGTTGTTACTTTTTACACTTCAACTGTAATTTAGGTTTTGCTTAAGTTAGTGATGTAAGGCATTATATTGTGAAATGAAAAGTTAACTGTCCTTCAGCCATTATATTAGACATGATTTATTATTTAATTAACCTGTTCATTGAAGTCATGAAAATAATAGTGATGATTATTTAGTTGATACAATGTTTGAAGCTGGTCTATAATGAACTTATTTACTGAACACCTTCTTTGTTGCTGATACAGATCATGAAGTATATAATTATGTAATTGGTTATTTGAATATTATGATGTTTTTAATTTACATTTGTTTTTACACTTGTGTTTCTACAGGGGCTGTTTTGTTGCCTTCAAAATAAAATAACCAAACATCAACTGCAAAGCGTCTGAGAGTGTATTCATTGGCCTTTCTTTCACTACCCTGACTGGCAATAGCTAGTCTAGTTCATTTCCATTTCAGCATTTGCTTTTATTTTTTGTAATTTTTTAATTTTAATTTTTTTTTTTTTTTTTAAAGGAAGATCAAAAATAGAGTCTAAGTTAGACCTAGGCGAAGACTAAGAAAAATAAACAGCAAGCTGATACTAGATCTTCTGCCTAAAAGCTAGTTTGTAATGCTAGCAAATTTAGTTAAAGACAACTACGAGAAAAATCGCATCAAGACAAGAACATCAAAAATGAGAAGACTCAATTTTTGAATCACATGATCATGCACAAAGCCAAGGCAATACGGTCAATCTTCACAAACGCCTCCATTCAATCCTTACCTTTCCAGATATTCTTTGTAAAACTCGAGAGGTGGAGTGTGTAAAATTTCAGGATTTGCCTTACAAACAGTTACAAATTCTTTTAACAACTTGAGTTCTCCCGGATCCATTTTAACCTTATCCTTTCTATTCTGTCACGAACAAAATAAAATCACGCCCTGGCCTAGGCGTTTCCAACACAATTTATAGCGCGTGGTGCAATGTTGTACAAGCAAATTCTGCAGCTAGTCGTACGTATACACAACACGTGCATGAATAGGAGATCGCGTACCCTCGATGCAGAAAGATCTAGACGCGGTGTACTGTGGACCGCGGAACGTTCTCACTACATAGCACCACTAGCTAACTGTACTATTGTTAAATGTCCGGATTTTTTTTTTGCTTTTTTTTTGTTCTCATCGTCAAATTCAAAGCGTCTGCATAAGCTGGTTTGTGAGCTCGAGCTTGTAAGAAACTATTTATCAGGCTGAATTGATTAATAAATTAATAGGGCCTACGTTTTTAATAATTCTGAATATATAGTAACGGACTGAAAAGTATCTGTCTGAACGGGGCACATGAAATTAGCATAGGTGGAAGAACATGTATGATGAAATGAACTCTATACTGGTAATATAATGGGTAATTCCCATTTCGATATTGACAAATCCACGTACATGTACGCATTTTCGGAAGGAACGCGATCCGGCAACAAATAGGCCTATATTATTTGTCATGCTCTTTATTGCTTCAATTTCTTATTCCCAACGTCCTCCTGTGGCCCACAACCAATTTAGAATGTCCGGACCACTATCTATCAGATTTTGTTAAATGATGTAGCCTACGTTTTAAGAGAATAACATGAATCTTAATTAAGGAATCCATGTCAACATAATATGGAGAATACTTCTTTTGACCAAACGAGGAAACAATTAAAACAATTAAACAAAAACCTGAGGCACTAAAGTTTAACGAAGTACAACATATATTTTTGGGGGGCAAAATTTATAGGGCTTTGATGAAAGAAAATGGAAGGGAATTAGCTAGTAGGACGCCCAGGGGGTCACTCCCAATATAGCGGCGAAAGGGTGTCTTTTTCAGCTATACGGTGGCGTCGACGTTTTCCTTTAAAAGGGGTGTTTTTCAAGCACTGGTCGATCGCACAATAACCAAACAAGGATAGACTATACCTTTTCAGATTCACAGGTTCGGCGTCGTCTACGTTTTCCTTAAAAAGGGGTGTTTTTTCAAGCAGTGATCAGCACAAAATCCCCCAAAAGGGTACCTTTTCAGGATCACAGGTTTCGACGTTTTCTTAAAAAAGGGTCAATTCAGAAAAAATGTGATACGCCATTAGGGTCCATTCAGGCGCGTAATGTGGTATGTCTTTGTGTCTTCTTTTTTTTGTTGGGGGGGGGGGTCCAATTTTTGATCAAATATTTAGCAGCGACTCAGCCAGCCGGTGAATAAGTGGGGGCGGGGGTGAGGTGAGAGCACTTTTTTTGCCAACCCAGTAGATGATTACCAGTTGATTTACCAGTTGATTTACAAGTTGAAAACCAGTAAATGATTACCAGTTGATTTATCAGTTAAAAACCAGTACGATTTCCAGTTGCTTTGGGAAAAAATTGCTCTAGTCGCTTGAAATAAGGGGCGCGTTTAATGATGAGAGGAAAAGGGGTCGCGTATGAAAAGGGATAAGAAAAGAAAAGGAGTACGTGTCAATTTACAAAGGGTAATTATCAGAGGTGAAAATGGTGCACTTCTTACTCCTACAAAAAAGAGGCACTCGCCAGGGATGGAAAAAAGGGCACTTATGAGAATGGGAAACGGGTATTTGTCGACGGAAAAGGGGCAGCAATCAGATTTTGATAGGGCATTTATAATAGGTGAAAAGGGACATTTATGAAAAGGAGATAGGTCCCTTATTAGAAAGGAGAAGGGACACGTATCATTGTTGAAAGAGATAAAAAGGGGTAATTATGAGAAGGGGTTGGGCACTAATAATAGGAAAAGGAGCATTTATTAGAAAGGAAAAGGAAAACGTATCATTGCTAAAAAGGAAATTATCAGAGGTGAAAAGGGACACTTATCGCACCTGAAAAGGGGCACTTATGAGAATGAGAAAAAAAGGTACTTATAATAAAGAAAAATGTGCATTTGTTGAAAGAAAAGGGGCGCCGGTCAGATTTTAATATGGGCATTTATCGGAGGTGAAAGGGGCTGTTGTAAGAAAGGGGAGTGGCTCTTATTAACAAGAAAAAGAGGCACATGTTAAAATAAACGGGGCACTAATCAGAGATGAAAAGTGGTAATATTGAAAAGGGGAATAGGCACTTATACTGAAGGAAAAGAGGCACGTGTCAAAATAAAAGGGGCAGTTACTAGAGGTGAAAAGGGACACACATCGCTGATTCAGCGGCTGGCTGAGTCGTTGCGAAATTTTCGGCCCGATTTATAAATGTTAAAACCCCCCCTTGAAAAAATCCTGCGTACGCGCCTGATAGCAGCAAACACATACGAAGGAGCAAAAACTCCGTTCTAATCCCTTTATATTGGGAGCGCATAATTCTGAAGGGCTCGTGATTTTTCTCTTCTTTGGCCTCTCTCTCTCTCTCTCTCTCTTTCTCTCTGTCTCTCTCTGTCTGTCTCTGTGTGTGTGTGTGTGTGTGTGTGTGTGTGTGTGTGTGTGTCTCTCTCTCTCTCTCTCTCTCTCTCTGGGCACCTCTCTCATGCAGTTTTCACTTACCTGTAAGTGCCACCGGCCGCGGCCCCATTCCACGCCCCAATATACGCCCCTCCCCCGTCAGATACACCAATAGTTATTTTAAAAAAAACACCGTATATCATAAAAGTAATACATTTATAAAAGGTTTACTTGTATTATTTTCATCATGGTTTATCCTGCATCGGGAACAGGATCTTAATCTTGAGAAACATTCTGTTATTTTGCTTTGGGGATAGCGGATGTGCTGGGCTTATAAAATCATTCGCGAGAAGAAAAAAAGAGCTAACAAATTATTGGGGAGAATGGGTTTTTATGATTGAGTTGGTTTTACCCGAGTGCTAAGAAAGCATGTGTATGCTTGTACTTAACCAACCAGATGACCGACGGATTTAAGTCCTCTCCGAGGGACTTGGTATATAATGAGGATTAATGCATTGCCAAAGGGCACTATAGAGTGCATCGACTGGTTTCGTACCCGGGGGGGGGGGGGGGGGGGGGGGGGGGGGGGGGGGGGCTCTCATACTCAAGTGCTACCCACCCGTATCCACCAACCTCTGAAATGGACCCTAATGGTGTATCACACTTTTTTTTGTAATGGATCCGTATGTATCGAAACCACATGTAAACCTGAAAAGATTATATTTGTTTGGGTTTTTGTGCGATCAGTGCTTGAAAACACCCATTTTTAAGGAAAACGTCGACGACGCCGCATAGCTGAAAAAGACACCCTTTCGACTTTTTTTCCGGACGCGGGTACGTATAGCTAGTCATGTTGGGAGTGACCCCCCCCCCCCCCCCCCCGGTCCCCGGCTCCCGGGTTTTGTACCCGGGATCTCCCTGTTTACGAGACCTCTGCTCTACCACTGAGTCATGGCCTTTATAGATCAGGATGCATAGTCTGATTATGCGTTGGTTAGAAATTTATGACAGGCATTTGAAAATGACAAAAAGGGGGCATTATCTGGTTTAAGTACACATACCAATGCAAGCTGACGTTGGTCTATGTGAGCGGGCAAAGCGGAGAATCATTAGAAAAATAGTGCACGGACCGCGTGAAGATAGATCGCCTTTAAAAAGGGGCGGTCAGAATGTTGATATTCCTGGTTATTTCATTTATTTATTCTTTAATTAAGCAAGCAAACTTTTACTGTTAACAAATAAAGAAGTATAAAGTAAGGAAGTATAACTTGCATCCAAGTGGGGTTTGGACGTATGTCTTACTTATTTATCAGTAGGACAATCTAGTCCTCTTTTCATTCTTGAGTTACAAAGTAACAAAAAACGAGAAAAAACAAAACAAGAATATTTGTTTTTACATGGCATGGAGTATATGACTAATTCTGTTGTTAACTATACGTAAAGAGAAAGAGGGAAAGGTGCCTCAATCGACTCATTGCATCAAAATAAAAATGAGTAATCTTGAAGTCTGTTGATGCTTTTATTAAGTTGTAAGGGTTTAATACTGATCTCATTTTGTGTATTCGTGTCTTCAAGTTCAAGTTATAAGAAAGTTACATGTTTATGTTGACTCACTTGGTTTCAAGCTGATTCTCTCTTTTTTTTTCTTTATACTTAATGCAAATTGAAGTGACTGTCTTATGGTCTATCTAAAGAAATATCTTGATGGATCTTTATCGGTTTATACTTAGTTTTGTTGTTTTCATGATATTTCTCTCTTCACTCTTTTGCCCATTATTCTTTTCCGTTTCTGATGTATACACATAAAACGACAAATGAGAGTATCTCTTCGCTCTTTTCTGTTTAATTTCCTTCCGGTTTTAATACTAAAAATACTGAAAAGTGCGCTAACTACTAGTTTTCTTCTTCTTCTTATAAGACAATGACCTTGTCTTCAGGGGTAACTGCGGTATATAAGTTCAGTGAATTTATGTATTATCACTCTATTTCTCTCGCTACATGTATGTTTCTTTGAGTGTCACATTGTAAGATTCTTTCTTTCTGTATGCGCGACCCCCATCCCCTCACCTGCCCCCAACAAAAAACAAAAACAAAAACCGCGTGAAAAGAGTAACGTTTTTTGGGTAATGGGAGTTTGTTAAAAATCTAAATCTAAAGACTAATGGTTTATATGAGGCATATACCTAGAGGATATGTTCAAGGGGCACTAATTTGTTTTGGGGTTGATCGATCCCCCCCCCCCCCTCCCTCAAAAAAAAAGAAGAAGAAAAAACATCGAAAAGGTGTGATTTTGACCAATGGATATAAACTCGGCACGCGTATATACATATTCTGACCTATACCCTCACCGGTATATAGAATAGGAACAGCTATATATAGATGGCAACTGCATATGATGTCAGCTTCGGAGGCAGTGTCAGCTATCCCCCACTCCACCCTTTTTAACGAACCCCAAGTTGACTGCATCACCCAAAGCCCCCGGTAGATGTGGGCAAAGGACCCACCTCAAACCCTGCAACATTACAAGGACCCGATGTTCAGTCATTTTCAATTTCCTGCCCGAATTGAGACGGCAGAACCCGCGCTCTCTTCCAACTTTCTTCCTCCCACTTTCCCCTCATCTTCTCATCGAAGAGCTGTAGACTATCAAGACAGAGAGAGAGAGAGGGAGA